CGTGTTATCAAGGAGAATCGATTAGCAGAATTAGTGTAAACTAGACAGTATCTAGGAATGTGAATAAGGGGCAATGAAACAGATACAATTTCATAATATCAGGGGTTTGGATAGACTGTAACTAGATATATTTCTGCTGTATCTATGGATATGGATTGGTCGGAACTCTACATATATTTTAGATGTATCTATGTGTATGGATTAGTCTATCTATTTTGCTGTATCTATGGGTATGGATTAGTCGTAACTAGACAGCTATTTTTGCTGTATCTATGGATATGGATTAGTCCTAACTAGACAGATATTTCTGTTGTATCTATGGGTATGGATTTATGGCAAATCTACATATATTTCTGGTGTATCTACATGTATGGATTATTGGTAATTCTACAGATATTTCTGTTGTATCTACGAGTATGGATTAGTGGTAACTCTACAGATATTTTTGCTGTCTTTAAATATGGATTAGTGGTAACCATACATATAGTTTTGCTGTATCTATTGTTATTATTAATGGTATCTCTACAGGTATTTCTGCTGTATCTATGGGAAAGGATTAGTGGTAACTCAACATATACTTTTGCTGTATCTATGGATATGGATTAAAGGAAACTCTAAAAATATTTCTGCTGTATCTATGGGTATGGATTAGTGGTAACTCTACAGATATTTCTGCTGTATCTATGGGTATGAATTAGTGGTAACTCTACAGATATTTCTGCTGTTTCTATGGGTAGAAATAAGTGGTAACTCTACAGATATTTCTGCTGTATCTATGGGTATGGATTAGTCCTAACTAGACAGATATTTCTGCTGTATCTATGGGTGTGGATTTATGGCAAATCTACATATATTTCTGCTGTATCTACATGTATGGATTAGTGGTAATTCTACAGATATTTCTGCTGTATCTATGGGTATGGATTAGAAGAAACTCTACAGATATTTCTGTTGTATCTACGAGTATGGATTAGTGGTAACCCTACATATAGTTTTGCTGTATCTATGGGTATGGATTAGAGGTAACCCTACATATGTTTCTTCTGTATCTATGGGTATGGATTAGTGGTAACTCTACAGATATTTCTGCTGTATCTATGGGTATGGATTAGTGGTAATCCTACAGATATTTCTGCTGTATCTGTGGGTATGGATTAGAGGTAACCCTACATATATTTCTGCTGTATCTATGGGTATGGATTAGTGGTAACTAGGGGAATGGGGAATGTCAAAAAGGGGGGTCCCCCAGGGCTCTCGATTGTAGGGCCACTGTTTTTAAATGTTTTTATCAATGATATGTTTGGTTTTGTAAATAAGTGTTCACTGTGTAATTACGCTGATGATTATACTTTATCAAATATAAGTAACTGCCTTGACACTTTAAAGATAACTCTGGAGGAGGAGAGCAAGACGCTAATAGATTGGTTTTCCTCCAATGTTATGAAGGCCAATCCAGGTAAATTTCAGGCTATTTGTATCGGAAAGAAAACCCATGAAACAATATCAACTTTTAGCATTGATGGGGTAGAGATTTTATGTCAAGACTGTGTGAAGCTTTTAGGTGTAGATATTGATTTCCTTCTTAAATTTGATGTACATATACATCTCTCGTTTTTGTAGCAATGCATCCAAGCAATTAGCAATTTTAAAGAGATTAGGTAGTCATCTTACAAAGAAAGGAAAGATTACTATTTTTAAGTCTTTTATCCTATATAATTTTAATTACTGTCCTTTGGCTTGGCACATTTGTAACAAACACGAGAGAGATGGAGACGATCTAAGAGTGGGCTCTACGTTTTATTGCTCGTTTAAAAAATATGGCCATAGAAACTTTCAAGATTATAAGTGGCACTTCACGATCATTTTTACATGATCTTATTGAACAAAGAAATGTTTTCTATAATTTTAGAAGAGAGGACACTCTGAAGATTCCAAGGGTGAATACCAAAATGTATGGCAAGGATCGTTTAGATTTTGAGGCGGCCCGGTTGTGGAACAGTCTGCCAATCGAGTACAGAAAGATAGAGGACTACCAGACTTTTCGTAGACTGCTCCGCACCTGGGATGGCCAACTATGCTCCAACACACAGTGATATTCACCTCAGGAATTTGTCTTTTGTGATATTATTTCTACTTTATATGTGATATGCTATGAAATGTGTAAATTTGTGTCTCTCTTCCTTTTTAGTATTCTGTGATTTTTTGTTGTTAAATTACTTAATATGCGTATACCTATGTTTGTCGCAAGAATAGCACTACAGTGCTAATGTTATTTTGTTTGTAATATGCAATGGTAAATAAAATCTTGAGATGTAACTTTCATTATATCTAGATGTGTGATCAATGGCATTGATTAGTTTTTGATGTGTTTTTGCAGGATTCCCACAAAAAATATATATTTGTCCCGTATTTTCAACATCTATGCGGCAGAAATGAAGTGCATATTGCCCAGAATTACCAACGCTTGGCACACTGTGCAACAAAGGTGGAAATGGGCAAGTATAAATCACACACACCCGTATATCAAATCACATAACATGGAAAGCTTCTAAACAAAGCTGTATTTAACAGTGCAGTTTCTAAGACCAGAGCGGTGAAGAGAGTCCCGTCAGGCCATAGCGATAGTTAATAACCATACAAACATAATTGACGACCAAGAATATCTTTAACCAATGAATTATTATAGCGATTCTTGGAAAATTGAAAGTGAAACTGAATACCATGTGCAAACGTGGTTGTATGTCACTTGATCGAGCAATATCAGTCAAATAGACGTGAAAAATCATTAATTGAGAAAACAATTCAAACAAGGCATCACAAATGATACAAATCCCCTTGCATTCACACATTGTGTGCCATATGTATTAGGAAATGAATAGAAAATTCAATGATGTAACAGTAACTGCTCTAGCGACTGCATCTGTTGAAGGTATTGTCATGGAAAACAATTTTATCAAGTTTCACGAAATTCGGTTGAGGAATGATTCCGATAGAGATGACAAAGTTTTTCTACAAATAGTAACAGTGACCTTGAACTTTCACTCGGTAACCCGAAACGCAAATTGTTCAAGATATTGTTATACCATTCATTTTAAAAGCATGCCTTTAAATATACAGTTTATGCCCATGTAATGATGTATCACTACCGCAAAGTATGAAAAAGTCAACCCCACAGCAATCAAGCTACCATGCATTACTGTCACTGCCTTAGCCATCTGAAACCCTTACAAGAGATCCCAGACGGACCTTGGCGCCCACCTTTGTACCATCTTCATTAGTTCTTTGTCAGTTCAATCTTTTCTCTTCTTTCCTCTAATCTGTTTGATCGAGTCATGTTAACAGTAAATGCACCTTGAGGTAACTTTTGATCTAAACTTAATACTGATGTGTATGAAAGCCAACCTTCAAAGTGAGTTTGTCATTCCATATATTTACTAGTACAGTACTTAATGTGAAAGAAATAGAATTGATCATTGCAATATAAGAAAGATCTGTTTAGTTCTTCCTTTAGCCATTTTGTTTTTATGGTCAGTCTCAAAATATAACATGCACAACGAGGGATCAAGGGGAACCTACATATCAAATTTGAGAAAGATATTCCTGAGAAATCAAATTTGAGAAAGATATTCCTGAGAAATAGTACTAACAAACCTTCAATGTCAAAAATCGAAGATGGCTGACGGTAGGCCATTTTGTTAACTGATCAGTTTCAAAAGTAAACATGAACAATAAAGAAAAGTGGGGAACCTGCATCGGCTGGCCCCCCAAATTTATTTTGGCCGAGTAAACAATTTCAAGCACTGGCCCAAATTCAATGACAGGTATTGCATTGGTGGCCCAAATAATGTTGGGAAGAAATATTTTCACAGCATTTAACACAATGCTTCAGCACATTTAAATAACATATAACATGACAATGTTTGTAATATGTAAAACAGAATAAAACATTATATTTTTAGTTCTTCAACCCTAGTTCAAACCTGACATGATCCAAATACACAAAACTCACACCTCAAAGAAGACACCCTGGCAGTATTTATATAGAAAATCTGAAAAAATCATCACATTTTCTAAATCATGCACAGTTCGATTCAAATCGAAGTAATGACAACTGAAAAATGTACTGCCCGCCAGTTAATGTGGAAGGGACTATAATTTCTTTAATTCAGAAATTTTTCGACAGTCACCCAAACTAATTTTGTTGGGCTACCTCACTTTTGACAACTTTTGGTCGCTCGAGCAAGACTTTAACCGCCATTGGCGAGCAAGCGACTGTCCATTTCAGGCACTGCTGAACAACAAGGGAATAAAGGGAGCCTACATATAAAATTTGAGAAAGATCCCTCCTGTACTTCCGAGAAATAGTGATAACAAACTTTCACTATCAAAATCCAAGATGGCTGCCTGTCAGCCATGTTGTTAGTCAGATCAGTTTCAAAAGTTCCCCTGCACAGCTAAGGACCAAGGGGAACCTACATATTAAATTTGAGTCAGATCCCTCTGGTACTTCTTGAGAAATATCAATAACAAGAATTGTTTAAAGACGGACGACGGACCACAGACGCAGGGTGATTTGAATAGCCCACCATCAGATGATGGTGGGCTAAAAATGAATAAAAGGCAAAAACGTGTTAAAAGCGCTTTTAACTCTGGATAAAAACAGTTGAAACTGAAAAGTAAACTTCGCATACATGCATATTTTTTTCTTGAAATTGATTCATTAGCTTAGGAAGAGTTTTCCGACAGACGACCAAGCTGTTGATAATAATTTATAATAAATATTTAATAAATTGATAATAATGTATACCTGGAAGCTTTTGCCCAGTAAAACTTTCACCCTTCACTGGCAAAATCCACTTTTTTCCCAGCATTACCTGGTAGTTTCACTCTTCACATGTTTTAACTATGTGTAACAGGAGAAAGAGAAAATGCACGGCCAGACAGGGGTTCGAAACCCGGGACCCTCAGATGTATATGGATACAAAAAGGTATTTTCTTACCTCAAATCTGCCTTTGTTGTTCTCCATGAGGAACTTACTGCCACACAGGTACTGCCACGCCCTGGAGCGTAGAGACGGAGGAATGCCTTTACGACATCTCTCTTTAATCTACAAATAATGAAAATAACAGTTAAACAAAAATTAAACAAAATTCTATCATGTTACAGTAATATATATCCATTTTAGCTAATCAATCATAGTGGTACAATGTAACATTTTCTCTTAGTATGAAAATGAGCCCACAGCGATAGGCTTGCAATCTGTAAAAATTTAAACAAAGCAAGTATCATGTCAGATGCTGTACATTTATATATTTTCTTGATAGCAACTTCGGTAAAGTACATAGTTTATTTCTAATGTAGTATATTTTTAATTATTAAAACTTAAAAATATATGTATTTTTGGACAAAATGCAAAACAAAATGTGATGTGTATAATATTATAAACATTTATTTGGACAGTTCACCAGTGACAATTTAAATCAGATAACTATAATGATGTATACAAATGTATAATCTTACCAACCTTTTTAAAACGTTTACTCATCCATTTTTCCCAATTTTCAAACATCTCCAACCATTTTAGTTCTCGTTTTCTCAGAATGTCCGATGGCAACCTTCTTTCACTGAAAAATTTAAATATAAACAAGAATTGAATATTGTAACATAAAAACTCAGTTCTCATAAACTTTATATTAATTGCTGGATTCAACTCTTATAATTATAAATAAAATTTGGAACAGGTGTAAATTAGTTTTCAAGATTTTGACATCTTCAGAACAAACAGGGTCGTACAAAGTCAGGTGCCCTGGGAGAAACTGCCATAAAAGAAAAGTAGAAAAGTATGATGAGTAAATATATTAGTCTAAAGTGTTGCAATGGGGCAGTGATCAATGTTTCTTTGATGCTCCCTATGCAGAAGCTTAAGACAAAGAGGAAAACTCTTGATCCTGCAGGGGGGCCAGCATGGGGTGGCATTCCCCCAAGAAATCATGTACCAGAGTGTTTTCAATAGCTCTGATTGCAGTATATATAATAGAGCATGAGCAACCCCCCAACAATAAAAGGTTTTCAGACATGCAACAACAAAAAAGAGACCTAATGGGTCTGTATCACTCACATGCTATTCAAATATCAAAGCAAACACATCTTCTCTGACCTTAGGTTGCTCAAATTGATTTAAATAAATTTGATAGCACATAGGCTCATGCTAAAGAATGAATATTGTGTATTTTTTTTTTCTTTATAGACAACGAAATGTAAATTAAAACTTTGATATCACATATTTCTGAACTGATGAATCTTAATGATGATACAGAATGAATAAATAGCATTACTTTAAAAGTGACCTTACAGATATTTGTTGGAAGATTTTAACTTATTTCACTCTTGGTAACTTTTTTTGAATCATATATTTGATCAAAGGTGATACTGCAATATCATACTGCAATATTAGAGTGTTATTTGGCGGAAATGTTATGTCTCCATGATTTCTGACAGCTGACTTCACTGATTCGGTACACTGTGGCTTAGTGAATTGTTTTCAGCAGTTTAGACATCAGTTTATTACAGGCTCTATCAGAATATTTGTCAAAATGATGATTTTACAGTACAGGTAATGACATAATAATTTTCTGGATATTCTTCAAATTTTGACTATGACATACTCATCAGGATCTGTGTACTGAGAACCACCAATGAAACCATAGCGATCAACATGGCTCATTGCATTTCCATTTTGTTTACTGGAGCCGGGGCTTGGGTGTGCACCATTCTCCTCCATAGGGGCACTGGCCTGGCTCATGGCAGCATCCTCATCTGAGTAATCACGGCCCGGGTCTGCATTTGCCATGACTCCCGAATTAAAAGCTTATTCAAATAAAACATACACCATTGACATCAAAATGAAGTTTAAGCTTGAATACATAAACCATCGTTTTGTATCCATCAGTCATGTTCATCTTCACAACAAATTTCACTTTCTCACATTAGTAGAACAGCACCAATCATTCCAATGATGATTTGTCATTTCTCCGGTCAATGGACCCAAATTTACCGATACCCACAGGAATGTTGAGGAACATATCTGAGTAAACATGTGATTACATGGTCAACTCTCTTTGTAAGTGAGCATCACAGTAACTTTAAGTAACCATAGTCTGACAGATTATATATCGTTTCAAATAATCCATTTCTGTCAGATTTCCTGGGAGGTTCTCTTTTATTCCGGAAGAAGCAGGTCCAGATTCCGGAAGTTTACCAATTTTTACTGGCGCATGCCCAGTAATCTGAAACCACTGAATTTTACGTCAAAATTACATAATCAATCATCAAATTGTGTATAATTTTGCTGAAAATTTCTAGATTGCATCCATAATCCATTGGACGATACAATTTTATTTTTCTCATTTTCAATTTTGCACATAACACGTTTGCGGTGTTGCGGCAGGTTCGTATGATGACCACGAGCCCAATCACATCTCACGACAAATTAAAAGCTCGCAGCAAAACGTAGTTCATAAGATGTGTCAAAACATTTGCGTTCCTTACCATATTTACAAGGAAATGTTGCAAAATTATTAAAAGATAAATATAAAAATAATATTTTTTTAAATTATGTCTCATATCAGTTGAGAAACATCTCATTTCCTGTGTGAAAAAGTAGTTCCCGTCTTCTCCGATAGGATATCACAGCGCCTTCTACATTCTGAAGTAGGACCCGTGAATATTGAAAAATCGTCGTTTTAACCATCATTGAAGTGAATATAACACTAGTTGTGTTGTTCGGGACAAACATCAGATAGGAAACAAAAAGTTTACCGCAACGGCGTCAGTATGACCCGCACCTGATCAACTTTATTCACTCTCAAACATTCTTGACAGCCTGTCCTCCAAAGGCTACATGATGAGTACACAGAAGAAAAATAAGCGAGGGCAAACTGCTGGTGCAGCCAGGTTTGTACGGTTATTATTGGTTATTAGAATAATTTCTTCGTATTCTTTGAAAAATGTGCTAGCTTTCCCTCATGACTGACATAGTCACGCGATTGATCGGACATGTTTAGACACACATTCTTGGAGTTCATTTCAGGTGAATTTTTAGATCGGGGTCAATGAGATGATGCACCATGATGAGGGTTTACCAAAATCTATGAGGGCACAGGAAGCTGGAACTTATCATTGGATATTGACGAGGAGGATATCCATGACACATCTTCATATTTTTTACTCAGCTTTGTAATTTTACAACGGAGGCTTACATTGTTACCTTAGTTCATGTTGCTGTTTTGTGAGGTTTTCTCATGTCACATGTCATAATCATTTCTGAAAAATGTGCATTTGTGGTGTGAATGTTTGCACAACAAACAGGCATGCAGGTGGTGGAAAATGGCAGTATTTTACTAAAAATATATATTCCGAACTGTAGATATGGTATTTTTCGGTAGATGTGCACAGATATTTGCATTTGAACATTATGTATGCAGTCCAGTAAGGTTTGACAGACAGATCAATCTTTACTGCTAATCTGATAAAAAGTAAACTGGCATTGGTTTGCATATTCAATTTAATCTAAAAATAGAAAACCACAGAATGATATCAGTCCACCATGCTTTTCATCTTCTTGTTGATGAAAGACAAGAAATCTTGCATTATGTTTTAAGTACACTACAACCAAACCTGTCAGGTGTGCATTTTCTTGTAAAGGATACACGTTAATTTCGAGCACAGTGACTAATGGGACACAGATATCTAATTCTGGATTCATGCTTTTCCTATGGGACTCGCTCACAAGTTGAGTACCCAATGCAATATAACTTATCTACTAGTAATGGGACTCATCAACATTCTGAAAATGATGTTAAGGACTGAAAACCTCCAACAAAAATCACATTGGCAACAGTTTAATTGTCAGGGTTGGAGGGTTTGAACTGTTGCAAAGGGTTTTGGAGATTACAAAGGAGGAAGCATTCAACATGGACATTCCTAGACTCCAAAGGATAATGAAAAGTCAGTAACAAGCAACAGAGTTCATGCCCAGCAAAAAATCACCACATGACCAATATGATAATATTTTTATAGCAATAAGACAATGTGAAGTACAAGACGATGCAATTTTCAAATCGGAACAAAACCTTTGGTCTTGTTTTAGCATGCAATCAACCCAGTCCATATCCATTTGTACACTTTTAAAATTTATGCATTAAATTTGGACATGAAAATAACTCTGAACTCTATAAGATGCCATCCTGAAGTTCACCATATATATCTGTTCAACAACAGACATATATCATATCATGTTAGTAGCCAGACCAGAGCCTTACTTACATATATCATATGTTAATAGCCAGAATAGAGCCTTACTTACATATATCATATCATGTTAGTAGCCAGACCAGAGCCTCACTTACATATATAATATCAGGTTAGTAACCAGACCATAGCCTTACTTACATATTTCATTTCATGTTAGTAGCCAGCCCAGAGCCTTACTTAGATATTTCATATCATGTTAGCAGCCAGACCAGAGCCCTACTTACATATATAATATCAGGTTAGTAACCAGACCATAGCCTTACTTACATATTTCATTTCATGTTAGTAGCCAGCCCAGAGCCTTACTTAGATATTTCATATCATGTTAGTGGCCAGACCAGAGCCTTTCTTACATATATCATATAATGTTAATAGCCAGACCAGAGCCTTACTTACATATATAATATCATGTTAGTAACCAGACCAGAGCCTTACTTACATATATCATATCATGTTAATAGCCAGACCAGAGCCTTACTTACATATATCATGTTAGTAGACAGACCAGAGCCTTACTTACATATATCATATCATGGTAGTAACCAGACCAGAGCCTTACTTACATATATCATGTTAGTAGACAGACCAGAGCCTTACTTACATATATCATATCATGGTAGTAACCAGACCAGAGCCTTACTTACATATATCATGTTAGTAGACAGACCAGAGCCTTACTTACATATATCATATCATGTTAATAGACAGACCAGAGCCTTACTTACCTATATCATATCATGTTAGTTGCCAGACCAGAGCCTTACTTACATATATCATATCATGTTAGTTGCCAGACCAGAGCCTTACTTAAATATATCATATCATGTTAGTAGCCAGACCAGAGCCTTACTTACATACACATATCTGGATCTGCTTCTACTTTCACAGGTTTTCCTGATTCGTTTCCGTGTTTAGACTTGTTATTTCTGAAAATAAAGCTTTGTCTTTTCATGTGATAGAGTATTGAATATTTTTCATTTGTTGGAGTTTGATACTCCCGCTGAAAGAAACGCATGCAAATTGACACTGGATGCCAGATGTTCTTGTTTGATAGTCCCGGTGAAGGTCATGCTGCATTCAAATTGACACGGACTATGTCCAGGATTAGGGCAGTCATCGGAATAATTTTGACTCAACCTCAAAATCAGCAGGAGCTGCTACTCCCGCTAAGGAATTGGTTTAGATTAACTGGTGTACAGGATCATTATTACAAAAAGTATCAAGCTTATTTACAACTAAGTCTGTGTTGCGTGAGTGGTATTTGAACCAGTGTGTATTTTTAGGTCACCTGAGCTTTGCTCAAGTGACCTATTCTAATCGCTTTCCATCCGTCATGCGTAAACTTTTTACATTTTCAACTTCTTCTCAAGAACCAGTGGATTTTTTTCAAACTTGATCAGAATCATCCTTGGTAGATGAGGCTGTAAAATTGGGATTCCTACCCCAACCTCTGGGGCCAGGGCGGGGCCCCAAAGGGAAAATTAACCAATATTTCAAAAATCTTCTTCTCCACACTCAGAGGTACTATATCCATTCATTTTCTCTGCATGGAAAGAAAATCATCAGGGGCTTTATTTAAATCGTAAATTTCAGAACCCCTGAGCTATTTGTTCTCCCTTGGGGAGGGGGTAAAGTTTACTATAGTTTATATAGGGAAATAACACGGGAGGGTGTATATTGTATCCATTTTCAGCAGAAAATTACTCAAACTTAGTCAGAATCATCTTTGGTGAATTAGAGTATTACTTTGTAAAATTGGGATTCCTGCCCCATCCCCAGGGGCTAGGGCGGGGCCCCAAAGGGAACATTTTATAATATTTTTAAATTCTTATCCTTTGATGACATGACAAGTATTGTATTTCACTTAGTTTACATGCTGATTTCCACATCACATCTAAACAATAAAATAAAGCTACCAGTACCTATGATATAACTCAGGTGACCGCTAAGGCCCTTGGGCCTCTTGTACATATAAACAAATCGGAGCAAAGTGGTGAGGAACTTAATTCCATTAGCATTATAGAGATGATCACCGATATATTCAACTGGTTCTACAGAAGACAAGGATAGCAGCATATTGTCAGGACACTTGATGGTCTTGGTTCCTGATACAGAAGATGGTAACAGCCTATTTCAGTCCAAAATCAGGTGTCATATTAATTGTGCTTTCCCATCAGATCATACAAGTTCCAGATACATGCAAAGGAACTATATAAAACCTGATGTTGCCGACTGTAAATAAACTATACAACAGGTTTTCACTCAATATGATTGGGAAAAGATTTATATTAATTGTTTCATGACACTGACACAAGTTAGAGATTATATGTACCAAGATCTTGGTCCAGAGCTATCTAGCCAATCCATTATCAGAATTGTGATTTCCTTTGAAGCACCACATGTTACTACACTCTGTACATGTTTCACCGAATTCCAAGGAGATGTTGCCACCCATGTAGCTCTATTAAATGCATTGTTTTTTTGCCTTATGCAACACCTGCTGGATTTTTATCTGTTGAAAACTTTCTACAAGCAGTGTTCATAAAGATTGTTTACTGAATTTGACAACATGTTGATCAATATCACTGATCAATAATCCTGTTCGACTTTACAGGTAGATTTAGTTCATTGCATTTAAATGCTAAAACTGTAAGGGTTGTAAATACAATCTTTCAGACATTATTTGATATTAAATGAAAGAGGAGGCAACTCAATAATTAATGAATTATGCTAAATTATAAAGTGTCTTCATGGCTTTGGTGTGAAATTGTCTCAGTGATATGGTACTTTTCTATTAAATGAATTTAAAGTTTATCTTAATCCTGACCATGAACTTGTGTCTCTGTACAGCTGCCTCGAGCTCCAGTTGTTAAGATTTAACCTTTTGTTTTATTCCTTTATATGTATATGAACAAAAAACCGTACAACACGATACATTTATGACAGACAATATTAAATAGATCTAAGTACCTGTCCTGTGAGTGATGAGGATCCTTATAGATAGTGCCAGCATTGTCCAACTGAAGTGTGGCATTATAAAGGGGTTTGGTGATGTATTGAGGGAGACATACGAAAGAATTGCTAAAATAAAGACATCGAGTGACATTGAAATATATGTTAACTGTATTAGCATATAGTGACAACAAAACCAAGGGCATTATATCAAGATGTTCCTGTATATGTTGTCAGTTTACTTGTTCTAATTCTGTGTACTGTTTTCCATTTGTAGGGGTGGAAGGCAAAGAGGAGGTGGATTTGACAAGAACATCATTGTAAGTTTTCATCTTGTTTACAACTTGTAACCTGAATGTTGTATAGTTTAGAACCTCAACCTGAAGGCGTTTATTGTGTAGTGCTATAATGGCACTTTTGCAATAGAGTAATCAATATATCTATTCTTAGATCTGTCTATAAAGGGTTTACTCAGCATGATTCAGTTTATAATGCTAATCAAAAATATTCTTTCCAAACTTAATAATGCATGTATGTGAGTTAACTATATAGATGTATGAATTTCCTAGTGGTGCCATTGGTCACAAACAAGCATTGCATCTCTAATGTGATTGTGTTGAGATTTCTTGATTAGACTTCACTTTACTGTTCATTGATCTGTGCATGTTTTTCTTGCATGCATGTAAATTGCCCTTCAGCGTTGTTAAGGTCAAATTATATTGTTTTGACATCATCAACTTCTGAAGCATCTATAGAATATGAATTCTTCTTACTTGATGTTTTTGGTAATCAGAAGACTTCCATATTCTTTAACCAAATCAGTTAATGGGATATGACATTGAATTTATAGAGGAGACTGTAAACAAAAATCAGTTTAGCAGGTTCAACATTTTAATTAATCCGTACAGGAAGCCAACAAAATGCTTCTTACCATAAGGCCAATTAAAAACATTGTTTGTTTCTTCTACCCTTATTTGTTAATGTAAAGATCCTGCTCCAATATAAATCTTCTAAAAAAGAAATTGAAAAATAAAATCGATTAACTACATGCATGTACCCCAATGTTTTCAGACAATTAACAGGAAACCAAATTGTTTGGCCTCATAATAAGGGAGAAAATATACTATTATTGTTCATTAAAATTGAATTGTAGCTATGAATGACTTCATTGTATTAGTTTCAGCGATGAAAGTTAACTCATAAGATTCAATAAGAATTGATTGAAGGTATAACACAGTTATTATTAGCTATGTAGTTAGTGTGTGTGCCTAGCTTCCTAAAGTTATTGGCTGCATGTGCCTAGCTCTCTAGATATGATTTACTCTTACACATGTGCCTTGCTCTCTAGATATGATTTACTCCTACACATGTGCCTTGCTCTCTAGATATGATTGACTCCTACACATGTGACTCGCTCTCTAGATATGATTTACTCCTACACATGTGACTCACTCTCTAGATATGATTTACTCCTACACATGTGCCTTGCTCTCTAGATATGATTGTCTCCTACGCATGTGACTCGCTCTCTAGGTATGATTTACTCCTACACATGTACCTTGCTCTCTAGATATGATTGTCTCCTACGCATGTGACTCGCTCTCTAGGTATGATTTACTCCTACACATCTGCCTAGCTCTCTAGATATGGTTTATTCCTACACATGTGCCTTGCTCTCTAGATAAGATTGACTCCTACACATGTGACTCACTCTCTAGATATGATTTGCTCCTACACATGTGCCTAGCTCTCTAGATATGGTTTACTCCTACACATGTGACTCGCTCTCTAGGTATGATTTACTCCTACTCATGTGCCTAGCTCTCTAGATATGATTTACTCCTACACATGTGCCTAGCTCTCTAGATATGATTGACTCCTACTCATGTGCCTTGCTCTCTAGATATGATTTACTCCTACACATGTGCCTTGCTCTCTAGATATGATTTACTCCTGCACATGTGCCTTGCTCTCTAGATAGGATTTACTCCTACACATGTGCCTTGCTCTCTAGATATGGTTTACTCCTACACATGTGGCTCGCTCTCTAGGTATGATTTACTCCTACACATGTGACTCACTCTCTAGATATGATTTACTCCTACCCATGTGCCTTGCTCTCTAGAGATGATTTACTCCTGCACATGTGCCTTGCTCTCTAGATATGGTTTACTCCTACACATGTGACTCGCTCTCTAGATATGATTTACTCCTACACATGTGCCTAGCTCTCTAGAAATGATTTACTCCTACACAATGTGCCTAGCTCTCTAGAAATGATTTACTCCTACATAATGTGCCTAGCTCTAGATATGATTTACTCCTACACAATGTTTCCTCTGCACTCCTTGTGCATACCTATTACTCCTACACAATGTTTCCTCTGCACTCCTTGTGCATCTAAGTATGTTGTGAAAGATCTTGGTGCATTAGAGTTCAAAAACAAGACCGCCTCAAGTCAGTAAGTGATTAAGTGTAAATAAGAACAAGAGGCTCAGGATTCTGGTTGATTGGCTTGTGAGTAATTGTTCAGCTAGAGATACATAACAAATAATTGAAACCTGCTTAGGGTCAAATCACTGACTGGTCAATCACCCCTACAACGTGGATTGGACTGATAGTGACCTGTACATAAACTGTCAAACTGCATAGGGCCTTAAGCCAATATATAGTGTCAAAATGTACCGGACAGCCGCCCAATATATATTGTCAAAATGTACCGGACAGCCGCCCAATATATATTGTCAAAATGTACCGGACAGCCGCCCTGGTCACTGGTCAGTTAATATAGGAAAGGAGTGACTGGGTGGATTTACAGTCAATATAAAGAGCAATCACATATATGTGATTTATAACGTAAAATGTTTAAAAACATCAAATGTCAGATGATGTTAAATTAGTGGTTGCCCCATAGCTTTATGCTAGAAAACAAATGTTGTCAGACTATGATAAACTAGTGGTAATCCCATAACTCTAGGCTATGATAAATTTGTGGTAGCCATATAACTTTTTTGTTATAATAAAGGTTGGGCTATAATAAATTTGTGGTAGCCACACACCTTCATGCTGGAATGAATGTTGTCAGACTATGATAAAATTAGTTGCAGTAACATAGCTTTTTGATTGTTATAGTAAATGTTGTTGGGCTATGATAAATATGTAGTAGCCACATACCTTGATGATAGATAATGTAATGGCCACATACCTTATGCTAGAATAAACAGTGTCGTGCTATGGTAAATTAGTGATAGCCAAAACAGGAATAACACCACAGTTATACCCTATATGTAACTATGCTATATACAATGTTGTAATTGTATACATCACACGCCATGTATCATATTTACTATATGTATGTGACCTCTTGTTACACACGCAAGTGTGTCGGAGTGAATAAATAAAACTTGTAACTTGTCGCAACATTTCTCATAGCCCAGGTAGATGGGACTACAGCTTATATATCACAGCCCAGGTAAATGAGGCTACCGTTAATTTATCATAGTCCAGGTAAATGAGGCTACGGTTAATTTACATTATCAAAGCCCAGGTAAATGAGGCTACGGTTAATTTACTTTATCATAGCCCAGGTAAATGAGACTACTGCTAATTTATCGTAGCCCAGGTATATGAGGCTATGTTTAATTTACATGATCATAGCCCAGGTAAATGAGGCTACCGCTAATTTATCATAGCCCAGGTAAATGAGGCTACGTTTAATTTACATGATCATAGCCCAGGTAAATAAGGCCATCGCTAATTTATCATAGCTCAGGTAAATAAGGCTACGGTTAATTTACATGATCATAGCCCAGGTAAATGAGGCTACCGCTTATTTATTACAGCCCAGGTAAATGAGGCTACGGTTAATTTACATGATCATAGCCCAGGTAAATGAGGCTACCGCTAATTTATCACAGACCAGGTAAATGAGGCTACGGTTAATTTACTTTATCATAGCCCTGGTAAATAAGGCCATCGCTAATTTATCATAGCTCAGGTAAATAAGGCTACGGTTAATTTACATGATCATAGCCCAGGTAAATGAGGCTACCGCTTATTTATTACAGCCCAGGTAAATGAGGCTACGGTTAATTTACATGATCATAGCCCAGGTAAATGAGGCTACCGCTAATTTATCACAGACCAGGTAAATGAGGCTACGGTTAATTTACTTTATCATAGCCCTGGTAAATAAGGCCATCGCTAATTTATCATAGCTCAGGTAAATAAGGCTACGGTTAATTTACATGATCATAGCCCAGGTAAATGAGGCTACCGCTTATTTATCACAGCCCAGGTAAATGAGGCTACGGTTAATTTACATGATCATAGCCCAGGTAAATGAGGCTACCGCTTATTTATCACAGCCCAGGTAAATGAGGCTACGGTTAATTTACATGATCATAGCCCAGGTAAATGAGGCTACCGCTTATTTATCACAGCCCAGGTAAATGAGGCTACGGTTAATTTACATGATCATAGCCCAGGTAAATGAGGCTACCGCTTATTTATCACAGCCCAGGTAAATGAGGCTACGGTTAATTTACATGATCATAGCCCAGGTAAATGAGGCTACCGCTTATTTATCACAGCCCAGGTAAATGAGGCTACGGTTAATTTACATGATCATAGCCCAGGTAAATGAGGCTACCGCTTATTTATCACAGCCCAGGTAAATGAGGCTACGGTTAATTTACATGATCATAGCCCAGGTAAATAAGGCTACAGCTTATTTATCAAAGCCCAGGTAAATAAGGCTACAGCTTATTTATCAAAGCCCAGGTAAATAAGGCTACAGTTAATTTACATGATCATAGCCCAGGTAAATAAGGCCATCGCTAATTTATCACAGCCCAGGTAAATGAGTCTACGGTTAATTTACATGATCATAGCCCAGGTAAATGAGGCTACCACTAATTTATCATAGCCCAGGTAAATAAGGCTACAGCTTATTTATCAAAGCCCAGGTAAATAAGGCTACGGTTAATTTACATGATCATAGCTCAGGAAAATGAGGCTACGGTTAATTTAAATGATCATAGCCCAGGTAAATGAGGCTACCGCTAATTTATCACAGCCCAGGTAAATGAGGCTACGATTAATTTACATGATCATAGCCCAGGTAAATGAGGCTACGGTTAATTTATCACAGCCCAGGAAAATGAGGCTACGATTAATTTACATGATCATAGCCCAGGTAAATAAGGCTACCGCTAATTTATCACAGCCCAGGAAAATGAGGCTACGGTTAATTTACATGATCATAGCCCAGGTAAATAAGGCTACGGTTAATAGGCTAGGGCTAGCCTATAACATTACAGTCTGGGGTAACATATATATATACTAGGGCTAGCCTATAACATTACAGTCTGGGGTAATATATATATATACTAGGGCTAGCCTATACCATTACAGTCTGGAGTAACATTTATACTAGTGCTAGCCTATAACATTACTGTCTGGAGTTACATATACTAGGCTAGTGCTAGCCTATAACATTACAGTCTGGGGTAACATATACTAGGTTAGGGCTAGCCTATAACATTACAGTCTGGAGTTTCATATACTTGACTAGGGCTAGCCTATAACATTACCGTCTGAGTTACACACATACTAGGGCTAGCCTATAACATTATAGTCTGGGGTAATATATATATATACTAGTGCTAGCCTATAACATTCCTGTCTGGAGTTCCATATACTAGGCTAGGGCTAGCCTATAACATTACAGTCTGGAGTTCCATATATACTAGGGCTAGCCTATAACATGACAGTCTGAGTTACATATATATACTAGTGCAAGCCTATAACATTACAGTCTGGGGTAACATATATACTAGGGCTATCCTATAACATTACAGTCTGAGTTACATATATATACTAGGGCTAGCATATAACATTACAGTCTGGAGTTACATATACTAGGCTAGTGCTAGCCTATAACATTACAGTCTGGGGTAATATATATATACTAGGGCTAGCCTATACCATTACAGTCTGGAGTAACATTTATACTAGTGCTAGCCTATAACATTACAGTCTGGGGTAATATATATATATACTAGTGCTAGCCTATACCATTACAGTCTGGAGTTACATATCCCAGACTGGGGCTAGCCTATAACATTACTGTCTGAAGTTACATATACTAGGCTAGGGCTAGCCTATAACATTACAGCCTGGAGTTACATATACTAGGCTAGGGCTAGCTTATAACATTACATTCTGGGGTTACATATATATATAATAGGGCTAGCCTATAACATTACAGTCTGAGTTACATATATATACTAGTGCAAGCCTATAACATTACAGTCTGGGGTTTCACATATATACTAGGGCTAGCCTATAACATTACAGTCTGAGTTACATATATACTAGGGCTAGCCTATAACATTACAGTCTGGAGTTTCACATATATACTAGGGCTAGCCTATAACATTACAGTCTGGGGTTACATATATATATACTAGTACTAGCCTATAACATTACAGTCTGGAGTTACATATACTAGGCTAGGGCTAGCCTATAACATCACAGTCTGGAGTTACATATATATATACTAGTACTAGCCTATAACATTACAGTCTGTAGTTACATATACTAGGCTAGGTCTAGCCTATAACATCACAGTCTGGGGTAACATATATATATACTAGTACTAGCCTATATCATTACAGTCTGGAGTTTCACATATATACTAGGGCTAGCCTATAACATTACATTCTGGGGTTACATATATATACTAGACTAGGGCTAGCCTATAACATTACAGTCTAGAGTTACATATATACTAGGGCTAGCCTATAACATTAGTCTTTAGTTATACCAGGACTAGCCTAAAGTAATTTCACAGTCTATTAATACTACAAGTTCACAGGAGTGGATTTAAATTTACACATTTCAAAATAGGGTTTCTATTGTGAGGATGACTAAAGCTGTAGTCCTACAATAACCTACATGTTTAGCAGCTATTGATTAGGAGAAACCGTGTGTACTGTGCAGAGACTTGGGCCCATGTGATCGTGCTGGTGTGTCAGACATGGGGCCACTGCGACCATGTGCAGAAGGACAGCACTGTTGATTGTATAGGAGCCAAAAATCAATGATTGTCAAGTTGCCATGATATTCCACAAGTCCCTTCTGACATGCCATAGAGTCAGATCTGGCCGTCTGGGAATTTCACTGGATGTTATCATACTCAGCACAGGGGGCAATTTCAACAAGAATGTTTCTTGAAAAGCCTTAATTCTGTAAAACGACCTTTTAAAAGGGGTTGAGACGTGGGATTGTCTCTAATCATCAACATTTCTGGTTTCAACATATATAAATGACTGCCATGTTTTACCCTGCAGTGCTGTAAAACGATATCCTCCACAATGCTGTACCAACTGGTCATATTGCTATCAATAATAGTTGTGGTATAAACTTTCTGATGCACGCACGTTGAGAAATTTACAAAAAATAAATAACTCTGCAGTCAAATGTATTATTTTTAATTCAAAATTTGTTAGCTCCTAGATTATATAAATTATAATCTGAAGAGCGCCTTCTCTGAATGGACAGATCATCAATACATTTGCTTTATGTGTTGTGTGAGGTTAGTAGAAGTACTTCCTGGTCAGTGTTATCGGATATAAGGGGAATAGTTTGCACCCAAAAGGATTTAACTCAAAGAAATCAATTTAAAGCTTTATCTCCCTCTCTCCCTCAATAAACCTACTGTTTCTGTTTTATATTTCAAATTTATGAATTATTTGTAAATAGCATCTTAAAAAATGTTGTGGTAACTGGTTTATCTTATATCATCAAATAAGGAAAAAATCACTGCTGGCACATAAATCACTGTTGGAGTCATCTGTAAAATCGTACAAACTTTAAAAAAATAAAAAATACACCCGAAGGCAAGAGATGTCAATTTGTTAAGGTTAGAAAACAATGATCTTTCTTAAAATCAGAAAAAATGATAATTCGACATTGTAATCTTTTATCAAATAAAAAAAAATGTTTGCATGGTAACAAAACTTCAGCTTCAGATAGAATTGATGACAAATTAATTTAATTTAGAAGGTTACATTATTAGATGCATGAAACCACATTAGTATGGAAACTTAATATCAAAACAAATTACGTTTAATTGAATACATGTATTCATTAAGATAATGCTTCAGATATACTTGATATTTAAATACTTCAGATCTTATCATTTATAAGTTAGGATTTCAGATATACTTGATATTTAAATACTTCAGATCTTATCATTTATAAATTAAGGTTTTACTGAGAATTTCTGTAAATCTGTTCATAAAAGGTGAGAATGTGTACGAAGTATTTTGCCTGCACGTATCAAATCAGCCTTCCCACTACTTAGCTTCTTTATAAGATGAAGTTAGGGTTTGATGACCAGCAAATTAAAATTCTAAGATTGCATTCATACATTCCAGAGACTTGGAGTCAATTTTATATTATCATTTAGCTCGCCAGGTTTTCAGGTCCTGACATGGTTTTATCTATAGGATCAGCATACTGATCGGGTGTGGGGTTGTATACGAACAAAACATAGATGTCAGTTTTACTTTAAGACATGAAACAGGCCACATATAATAAAACAATGACAGGTTGACTTGTAGCCACATATCATCATTGTCAATAGGTAATACACATCCAGTACATAGATCTGTCAGAAAGGTAAACAGGTTTGTATTGTGTACAGTGACAGTTATACAGGTATAACAGTCCGTTACACATCAAACTTACACAATAAACGATCCAGGTCACAGTCTCTATTGTGTAAATAATACATATTGATGTGTGATTAGTGCACATGTCCTGTGTGTGTACACACTGTTGTAGGATTATTAGCCGACATCAGCAATATCTTCTGTATTATCCTGATCACTCCCTGTGTCTACATATATGTAGGATTATTAGCCGACATCAGCAATATCTTCTGTATTATCCTGATCACTCCCTGTGTCTACATATATACATGTGCACTATGTACTGATACTGTTATCTGACGGGTTAGTCTATCAGTGTTGACTATCCAAATTAAAGAGACCACATGTTATTTCTACTATTTTTGGAAGCTGAACATTCTATAATTCTATATAGCCAGTCAGTTGTTATAGAACACACTTATTTGATTTGGGTGTGTTGTTGCTGATGGGATGTGCATGCTTCAGCTACTATTGTAACCTGACTGCTTCAGTTAATATCAGCATGCTGTAATTTTGGTGAACATTATTCATTTTACTTTGTATTCTATATTTTTACGATCAGTAGAAACACCAGTAGTCCACATTAGCTTAACGCTGTCTATCAAAAACACTCATTTGTCGTCAAGATACAGAAACAAACTTATCAAAACATTTACGCTGTTTAAACACTCAATACTTAGAGTGTAGATATGCAGTTGATGCATTTGAAATAGTAAATAAAACATAAGTAAGATATTGTGTGAGCAGTGTTAAGCCAACGTGTTACAGCCCACTGGTAACTATAGGGCTGCTCAGGATCTGTGCATGCTGGCTTGACAGCCATTCCTGGCAAACTGTCAAGTCTGTATCGGCCCAGGCCAAGGAGATCTGCTTGAATACATTTTAAATGCATTGAGTTGTGACAAGACTATGGTATAATGTTGTATAAACAGAAAGCGGATGAAAGTAGCCAAAAAGTTGATTTTGTTATCTTAGGTCAGGGAGCCACCATTACGAACAATGACCAGAGGGAAACAGGCTGATGAGGTAATGATCTTGTAACTTGTATCTGTTTTTATATATATATCCCATGTGATTATGTTCTTCATGTCAGATTTACAAAAGAAAACTATATCTGCTCTTCTTTAACCTTATCTATTATTGATGGAGAATTAAACAAGTTGAAAATGTCTTTTACCAGAATAATATGAGTTATAATTTTGTTTGAAAGTATTGCTGTTTGTTAGTGAAAAACAAGAGTACTTGAACACTGTATACAGTAAAGTCATCACTTGTGCACTCTAGGTACTGTGTACCTTAACTCATTTCTGACATGAAGGACTAACTCTTGAGAGGTTTTTCTGCAAAGTATGTTTTGTGATGCCTCTGACATGATTTACATGCCACAGACAGGAGAAAGCAGCACTTCAAACAACACAGGAGGGTGTGGTAATCATTCTGATGATATATATTTGTTTCTTTTCAGACGAACGAAGGCGTTTTTGCCAACCCTAGGTTTACCCATCTAACAACATCATTAATTGTAAGTATCCTGGACCTATCTGTTACTTTGTACTCGGAGAGCACCTGTTCCTTTCTCTCTTACCTAATGACAGTTTATATTCAATGTGGTGTACAGGAAATGGGAGGCATGCAATAGTTGAACACTGTGCTGGGTAACACCTTGCAGCGTTGCCTCTGTAGCCAGATAAAACACTAGTGACTATATATAATGGTACCCTATACAGAATCACCAGTCTTTATTGATACAAAAGATAATATGCAGTCTCTGTCATCTAAAAATAGATATAGAAGTCATTTTCTAGCCAGTCAGATTCATGACATTTCTTGACTTGTGCAAAACAAATTTATTAAATTCTATTTTAGATGGGCTTATTTGAATCTTTTTTTGGGGTATTTTTATTTGATTTGAATGGATAAAAAACACCTTTAATAGCAAACAATTTGAAGCAAAATATAATGTTTCAAACAGTCGTTCTTGTCTGTGACAGTTTAGATGGTGATAGAGGTTAGTATCATTACACATGAAGGTAACCAGGGATAGGGTAGTGCAATCAAACACTTACAGATCAGGAGAATATTCTAGGTTAACGGGTAGGCTACTTACAGTTTACTTATTTGGAGAATAAAACATAAATTTAGAACTGAAAAAAAGTCAATTCAGTCTTTACTTGCAGTTTCATTGAAGAGTGACTTCAGTAGTCTGTCTATAGATACACCGAGTGTTTACAAATGTTTTAATTGGTCTGTTTTTCTTCATTTATTGAACAAAACCCAATAGTGTTTGACTGGAGTGGCTACCACCCGCAGTACAATATTGTGATAGGAAAAATCCATATTGTGTTATATTGATGAAGACATGTATGCATGACTGTTTGTAGAGCTGGCATTGATCTGGGGGGGCTTATGAGAGAAAGTATATAGATGACAGTGTACGGCTGGTGTGTAGGCCCACATCTGTTGTACAACAGGTGTACCCACCTCAGCATCAATTCTACATCCACAGCATTGTAACTGGTCTGCATTGGGGGGCATCAGCATGGTAATAATGAGTTTTAGTTTGACGACATTGTAAAATTTGGTGGTTGACAACCTGGTCAGTACTTAAGACAAAATTTTCAGTAATAAAGCGGTTGATTATTATTATCAAAGACTTTCAGCAGTAAAAATAAAAAAAATGTTGTCGGACAATATCATAATTACCAAAGTGTATTTAGAATAGGGCCTGTCTCTTCATTTACATGTTTATAACTTCTGCAAGTCCTGAAATTTGATTTGATTTTGATGTAACTTTCTAATCATCTAAAATATTTTAAAAAATTGGCTAAGTCTGATCATGAACAAAACATTCAAAAATTTAGGCAGAGTTTGACATTATCAAAAAAAACTCCTTAATTAATTAGCATACTGCAACCTAATTGATTACTTAACTCATTGTTGATAGGAGAGATGAGAATATGACTGAGGTTAATTTACTCCAGTTCCATGAAATACATACATTAATAATGAACATAAATCATCATATTTAAATTCCACATAATTATAAATGATCAAAGACTAAATGTTGAATATTTACGTTTGTCCCATCCTGGATTTTAGTAAGGTGAACAGCACTAGTTCTTGTTATGGTATTGATTTATGATAACACCTGATGGCCTTATAGCCGGATGTAGACATGTGTTGGACCAGGATGTCTAGGTGGGGATAGTAAAGGGGTGAATCAGGGAGTAATATTGGATTGTGTTATATAGACTTAGCAAATCATTCTAGTGCTCAAGAGGGGCTGCAGACCCACATACATGATACACAACCATTTTAGGAGGAAATGCATGTTTAACTGTATACTTTTAAACATACCAACTTTCATACTTTATCTTTCCTTTTCCTTGCCACTATTTATTTTTAGCAGTGTCTCCCTAGGCTCTTGTTCTCATATGACTGTAGCTTATGCAAGCACATTAAACTCCCTTAAAATAATTTACAGTCATATCAAAAGTCACGAGTACATTGTCCAAATTTGCAATAAAGCAATATCTTGCTTAGGCGTTTGCAGTCAACTCTTCATACCAATTCAAACTGTGTTTGTACGAAACAGTAGGGGAAAAGGCTGAAAGCAATTTGATTCGGCCAGAAGGTCATTGATATTTAATTATCAAATGTGGGATGGTATTGCAGGTGACACTATATAAAATTGGTTAAGGATAACCTTAACAAAAGTGGCAGAAAATTACAGGAATCGAAACTACAAAATCAATGGCTCGCATCAGGGGAAGAGGGATTGAACAGTTAATATTAATGTTCACCAGAACAATAGGACATTGGTTAGATTGTTGCCATTTAATAATTACAAGTTTTAAGCACAATATTACAACGATTGAACTATTCAGTGTTTAATGCATATTTAATCTGATCTGGTCCATACATCATGCACACATGATTTGCAGCAATACCCATTTGTGAGAAGAACTATTAAGCATAGCTTTTCAAGTTCTCAAACACAAATCCATCCAGGTTACTTTATACAAAGAAAAAAGTTCATCCTGCAATATGTGTAAAATAAGGTTTTGAAGTTTGTGATGTGATGTGACCAGTGAGGCTGGGGATGGTTGCTAGTCTAGTGAAAATATATATTGAGGGAATTATTAACTCATTCACCCCTGAAGACACATTTGAACTCTTCCTATTCAAAGGTTGGAATAGTTCATTATGAAATTTCAGGGGTGAATGAGTTTACTACAAAGGTCTGGGATGGGGATGAGGCTAGGATAGATGTTGTCCTATAGGTCGTTATTGTCTTGATTGATGGCCATTGTTCTAGATACTGATGTTAGCTATAAGTCCTGTGATCCACACAATACAAACAGCAACAGGTGGTGGATACAGTTAATGCACTGGTTGTACTCGGAAAGCTCACTCCCTGTCTGGTTAGGGGCACAGAAACATGGCACACAGTCTATTGACCTGTATACAGAGGCCTATATAGACAGCACAGCCTTCTCTCAGTATAGACACATCTCCCATAGTCCCATCACAATATATACAACGCAAAATCCCAGTAACTTCCCAATGGTAGAAAGTTAATTGGCAGGCCATTTCAGGGCTGGCTCCCCTCCAGGACTAATTGTGATATATGTAATATTGCCAGTCTGATGCTATCACTCCAGTTTTCAAACCTGCTTTATTATAAACTGGGGACAGAATTTACTTTTTTATCGCCGCTGGAGAAACCTATCATCTCTTGGCCCAGTCAGGGATCAGTGTTTTTTGTTGTTATATATTTATAATTCTACCCAGACTCTGACATTTATGTACACCAGTGCCTGCACACAAATGATCACCAAGTGTTTATCTCTACCACAGGGTTGTGTTGTACGCTTACAAGTGAAAAATGGAGGCATTTATGAAGGCATTCTGAAAACTTTTAGTCCAAAGGTAAGTCTTTCTTATGGATGAAATTTATTACCGATAATATCAACCCAGAGGAGATTGGCGAGTTACTGGCAGTATTTATTGATGAAGCTGAGATACTTGCGCAATACACAAGGTATTGGTGTGTTAATGATTCCATTATGTGTTTATCATTTGATGGGGCAGTGGTATGTACAGTGTTTATAATCTACAGCTAATGTGTGCTTGGCTCTCCCACAGCCTACCCAGCACAATAATTAGCATGCTCCACATAGCAAAGTAACCTAGATACTCTCTATAGTCAGATGACTGGTGTCTTGACTTTGTACATGATTAAGAAATGGATGATATTTGTGTCTGGTAATTCACAGGTTTATCAATGTGTAGTTGAAACGGCCGTTATTTAACTGACACAAGTGATTCAAAGATCTTGAAAAAGACTCATAAAACTTCCAGTCTGTTTTATGGTATATTTCACCAACTTGTATGAATATTTATGATGTACACAAAAAAACGCTTTACTTTATGGACAAGATAATTGATTTACGTTAGTCGGTTTGGATTTTTGTTGATAGAACTCACTGACTGCTTGAAAATCATTCTGTTATACTTTTCTTGCTGTAATGTCACAAGACTAAATATTTGTATTGCTTTTATAATGTTTATTACTTCAATTTACGAGGAATTGCAACTATTTGATGAGATATCAAGAGGGGTAAAAATGTAAAAAAAAAATAGTACTTGAAAGTTTCGAGAGAATTAAAACCTTTATGGTTACATCTAATAAAAAGTTTTTATGTGCAAAGCATTTTTGAAATGTTTAATATAAAAGGATAGTTGAAATCAGTGGTTGAATTTAAGTGGCACATTTCTTAAAAAGGACAATGGTGTTAAATATCGAGTGAAATCATGTAGCAACCTGTTAGATTGTGTTAAGGATAATGTGAATGTTCTATTCCTTGGAGATGTGCTGAGTGAGAGAGTAATTTCTGATGTACAGCATCTGGACCTCAATGTTTCAAGATGCTTGGTGGACTGTCAGGAGTGAGTGATTTGCCACAATACTGTCCATTGTTTGTGTATGTATTGTTCTCACTGCAAGCCTTGACAGTTATATTCCTTCAGGAGTGCCAGATGTAGCTATATATTATAAACCTGCTGTTTTCTTACCACAGCTAGCTATATAGCTTATCTCCTGTTACAATGAAGAGATCTTGTAGCATATGAAAATCATGTGTTCCATTTTTCGGGACATGTGGACCTGGATGATTATACTTTCATTCTAAACAAGTGGAGTTTCGGTGTTAACATTAATAGTTGATATGAGTTTTAAAGTTTGGACTGAAGCCAACTAGACTGATAGGAAAGTGTGCTGATCACCCACTGATGTAATGTTTGTTTTCAGATGGATGTTGTACTGGAGATGGCCCACAAGTGTGAAGACCTGGGAAATAACAACCAGAACGCAGTGTCTAGTGTACCTTCCCGGGAACGACTTATAGAGAAAATACTTTTTAGTGTTGGAGACATTTTAATTATTTGTGCTATGGATGTGGATATGGATTATTCTGTGAAAGGTATACCACATGATGATGGCCGAGGTTGTGTTGATATCCTGTTAAAACGTTTCTACCTATATTCATCTCATATTCATAATGGCTTCTATGCCAACCTTATCACATCACAAGTGCTCCCGGAGTAAAATATCAGTTTTGAACCACTTTTACTCAGATTAAGCCCGTAATTTTGGACATAATGGAAAGAAATCCATCATGTTCATATATAAAATTTTATGCAATCACCTGAAATCTTGAACAAACATGTTTGTCTGTAATTTTTGCACAGGTAGCATTTACATGTGTCAAGAGAGCCTTTTCTGTATTGATAAATGGGGCTGTCATATCTCGTTTCCAATTTAAGAAAAAAAAACAACTTCTTTCTCAACCTTGGGACAAATGCAAACTCCCTCTTCACACACACACACACACACACACACACCCTAACCCCCCACCCCCAAATTTGGAAATGACAATTTATGAATTACCTGTGTTGGTTTAAAAACTCATTTTGTTATTCCAAAATTTAACCTTTTCACTATAGAAATGTTCATTTTTAAACGCCCAGGCTCTATCAACATCATGATCAGTTGTGATTCAACTTATGTAGTTCTCTTGTAATGATGAAAATAACAAATGTGAATAATTATAGATTTATACATAACATCCTTCAGTGTATACTTGATTACAACTTGTTTTACAGACTCATTTACAGACAGTGCCATAAGTAAACACAACGGACAGACGGGAGAAAATCCTCTGCGTGAACTGCAGCCCTGGGAGGGAGAGGACGGTGAAGAATTAGGGGGTTTAGAAGGTGGAGACCCAGCAGTAAGTCAGTTTCATACCTGCAATGGGAAATAAACCTATGGTCTATGGGATAGAAACCCTGTGAATAACTCCTGCCCTGTAATAAAAAAGCTATATTGTCTATAGGGTGTAAAGTGTAAAGTAGATAAATGCCAGTCCTGGCAGATGAGTAGGTTGGCAAGCCTATAGGTAACTCCAGCTATGTGACAAAGAAAAAGACAATGCTGCACAGTTTGAATTTCATCTCTGTTGGTCATCAGTGGAATAAAAAAAGTCCTACAATAGTCCCATGTGAAGGTCAAGGTGAAGAGTAGGATTCTGTTGACCTGCAGTGATCAGTTGTATGTACTATAAACATTAGTTTGTTGACCTATGCTCAGTATAAACAGTACTTTGTTGACCTATACCCTTATTTTGGGGAAATGAAAATCCTTTTTATTCTTTAGAGGAAGCAGCCATACTCGACAATCTGATTAAAATCATTTGTTACACCTCAAGTGAATTTCTAGCTATTTGATTGGTTGGGAGAAAATTAAACAAAAATCTCTGTCACCCTCCGAAAATACATTGGTTTTAAGGGGCGCGGGTAATATAGCCATGAGACAGTGAAAAATATCACATGCGCGAAAAATGTGCGTTCACCGCTTCGTTTCCCCACGGTGATGGTCACAAGAACATTTGACGGCAACAGCCGATTTCATCAAGCGCCCATGCGATTGTGATTGTAAACAGCAGACTATCAACAAACAAGATGTCATTATCGAGGTTTGCTGCCATTTCTGAGCTACAAAGACTTTTGGTGTAACAAAATAGATATGACATTCATTAGCAGGGGACAGTGAATATTGTCAATCCTCAAACACCCATTGTCACCCTCGGCTTCGCCTCGGGTGACAAGGTTTTTCTCGGGTTGAAAATATTCACTGTCACCTGCTAATGAATGTCATATTTATATAATGTTACATGGCTTCGTTAACTTTGTACTACACCTGAACATTTGAGTGTGCCACGGTCAGGGTCACGTTCATGTGACCTTTATATTTATAAATACTCTTTAAATTTTGACCAATCAGAGATCCTCTTTCAAAAGGGCGCTCAGAGTTGTAACAAATATGGCGGACATTGATGAGAATGATGCGAAAGGTCTGAAGTTATTTGATATTCGAAGCTTTATTAGAGAAGAAAGACTGTATGGCAGTGTTGCCTACACAATTATTACCCAATGGGTACATTTTCCTTGGCTTCGTAGAAACGTCAGTTCCCGCCGCCATATTTGTTTTGGAAAACTAATCTATTCGATACCCCTCGCTATTTATCTTATCAACCATGATATTCCGATTCGCTGGCAAACTTTTGCCAGTGCGCCTCTGATTGGTTCATCTAAAGGTCACTTGAACGTGACCCTGACCGCGGCACATCCAGATGTTCAAATGGAGCCATGTAACAGATGATTTTAATCAGATTGCCGTACTCGACTGTAAGCTAGGCAAAAACAATCACTTCTAGGTAGATTCCGTTGGGCTTATATGCGTTGCTGTAGATAGTTTCTGGTATTGATTTTCCACGGTTATTTTACAGAATGGCTGGGATGCTAATGAGATGTTTAGAACCAATGCAGAGCAGTTTAATGTCAAGTCAACTTATGATGATACACTAAAAATGTACACGTAAGTAACATTGACATGGTTCAGAGTCTGCGCATTTGTCGCTTGGGAACATTTTGATTTTAGACTGCCAATTTGACATGTAATCAAATGGATGAATAGTTTTGGCAAATAAATAACTATTATTATCAGTGTTAATGCCAATACTTTTAAGTTATATCAATGTAATATGTCAAATGAAAGCATTACTATAAATTGTGTATCAATTCATGTCGCTTATCAAAGATTTATGCGATGGTTTTAATCATCAATCTCCCTTTGTTCCAATATTCATATTATTAAGCATCTCATTAAAGCAGTAAGCTAGTTTTATGGAAATATTCAGGTCAATTTGCTAAAAGAAGAATTTAAATGTTCAATAAATTAATTGATAGCTTAAAAGTTGTAATAATCACAATTTAAGATTCCTTAATCCTTTGTTTCAGGACCCCACTTGACAAGACGGATTCTTCCGAATACAAATTGCGAGAAGAAAAAGCAGCAAAAATAGCACTTGAGATTGAGAAAAGTGATCAGTACAAGATTAGAAATGCATTAGAAAATGGTGATGAAACAAACGAGGAGGATAAATATAGTTCTGTGAAACGGACACAGGAGAATAACACTTCCCAGTCAGGAAAGTGAGTAACCACAACGAGCTGGTTCTGAAGGTGTAGTGAATACAGGCTCACTGTGGCTGACCGGTTTGGTCATCGGGGCCTTAGTGTGGCTGACCAGTGTGGTCATCAAGCCTCAGTGTTGTCATGCTTTCGTTTGGATTTATTCTGTGTTTTGTGCGAGCTAAACAACAACAGGAAATTTCATGTTAATACTTACCTATTTATCCATCATTGATCATTTTGACTTGGTTACATTGCGACATTTACTGTTTGGATTTCAGTCTTAATGAATAATTTTCTTGTACTTATTTAAACTATTTCATTATTTGTTTGAAAAATTACATATTTTGTAAGTATATGTAGACATAGAGAAGGAAAGGGTGCCAAGGACCTGTCTTTTGAGTGCATTCTATTTGCAAAAGCCAAAGGCCTCCAAATATCTTAATTTTAGAGAGAGAGAGAAAGAAAATTCAGAGTGGCCAGGCACATTTTTACACATGTAAAAAATAAACCCAGGTACTTAAACGTTGTAATATAGTTGTATGTTGATAACAAAACCTTGTTTACAGATATATACCTCCAAACAAACGAAGTCAACATCCACATCAGGCCAACAGGAATATACCTAGAGGACCTGTACAAAATCACCAATACCACAGCTTGCCAAACCGCGGAGGAGGAGCGCCACTACCACAAAGAATAGCCTCTCCATCTCAACCGGTACCGGTCCATAATCCTCCACCAGTGCTAGACGAGACTAAACATAATCATATAGGTAAGACAGTTGTCTCAGGTACAGGGGAGGGGCGTCAAAAATGTAATACCATCCACAAGTGTGGTGTTTTTGTGTCATCCACCAGTACTAGAAGAGACTAAACATAATCATAAAGGTAAGACAGGTGTCCCGGGTACAGGTGAAAGGCGTCAAAAATGTAATACCATCCACAAGTGTGGTGTTTTTGTGTCATCCACCAGTGATCAACGTCGCTCTATAAGGCTCTTTTTTGATATATAATGTATATTCACTTGTTGCAGGTGTCAAATACTTTGGTATTTTGAATGAGTTCATTTTATGAAGTGCCCACTTTTGTCATCACGCTAAAAATCTCATTAATGAATTCAAGTTGCTAACCAAAGATCAAAGTCAGTATTGTAGTAATACTGAGTAGAAATTTTCCCACAAATTATTATCATGGTCTAATTCACACTTGGTAATGCATCACTTTAAATCTTATCAATGTATGAAGATAGACCTTCAGTTCATAGACAACCTACATTTCACAATTAGTACCACTTAATATAACCAGCTACAAATCAGGTGATGTATACTCTGCACAGGAAAATTTTATTTTACAGAGTTTTGAAAATAAAGATAACAGAAAACGAAAAATAAAAAACTTGCCATTTCTTACATATCTGAACCTTCAAATACAAGGTGAATAGAACTTCTGTAAATGCTGATGCTGTAAAGTGATGGTTAATATGTCTTCATCTAGACAAAGAAGAAAATAGATGGGGAGAAAACTCAGAACAGTCTACAAAAGCTAGTCCAGTCCCAGAGTCAATAGATAAACAACAACAACCACCTGTACATACGTCACCAGTGTCAAACAAAGTAGACAGGAGGAACTCCACTCCTAAAGGTAACACACGCTTCTCACTAACATTGTGTTTCAAGTATTAGAGGCCAATGGTCAAGTTCTATTAGCTTTCCTCTAACTGTGAAGGAATTATTATTGGTTCCTCTTGTTGAAGTTCAATTCAGTGGGAAAGTATACAGGACTGGTCAGTACTGGAATATTACCTATGTGTGATTTTACTATGATAACCGTGAGGCAGTTGTTGTTCTATTTATGGTAAAAACATCTTAAACTCTTGACAGTAACTATTGTAGTTGTACTATGGTAAATATGTAGGGAGTTATACAGGACTGGTCAGTACTGGAATATTACCTATGTGTGATTTTACTATGATAACCGTGAGGCAGTTGTTGTTCTATTTATGGTAAAAACATCTTAAACTCTTGACAGTAACTATTGTAGTTGTACTATGGTAAATATGTAGGGAGTTATACAGGACTGGTCAGTACTGGAATATTACCTATGTGTGATTTTACTATGATAACCGTGAGGCAGTTGTTGTTCTATTTATGGTAAAAACATCTTAAACTCTTTACAGTAACTATTGTAGTTGTACTATGGTAAATATGTAGGGAGTTATACAGGACTGGTCAGTACTGGAATATTACCTATGTGTGATTTTACTATGATAACCGTGAGGCAGTTGTTGTTCTATTTATGGTAAAAACATCTTAAACTCTTTACAGTAACTATTGTAGTTGTACTATGGTAAATATGTAGGGAGTTATACAGGACTGGTCAGTACTGGAATATTACCTATGTGTGATTTTACTATGATAACCGTGAGGCAGTTGTTGTTCTATTTATGGTAAAAACATCTTAAACTCTTTACAGTAACTATTGTAGTTGTACTATGGTAAATATGTAGGGAGTTATACAGGACTGGTCAGTACTGGAATATTACCTATGTGTGATTTTACTATGATAACCGTGAGGCAGTTGTTGTTCTATTTATGGTAAAAACATCTTAAACTCTTTACAGTAACTATTGTAGTTGTACTATGGTAAATATGTAGGGAGTTATACAGGACTGGTCAGTACTGGAATATTACCTATGTGTGATTTTACTATGATAACCGTGAGGCAGTTGTTGTTCTATTTATGGTAAAAACATCTTAAACTCTTTACAGTAACTATTGTAGTTGTACTATGGTAAATATGTAGGGAGTTATACAGGACTGGTCAGTACTGGAATATTACCTATGTGTGATTTTACTATGATAACCGTGAGGCAGTTGTTGTTCTATTTATGGTAAAAACATCTTAAACTCTTTACAGTAACTATTGTAGTTGTACTATGGTAAATATGTAGGGAGTTATACAGGACTGGTCAGTACTGGAATATTACCTATGTGTGATTTTACTATGATAACCGTGAGGCAGTTGTTGTTCTATTTATGGTAAAAACATCTTAAACTCTTTACAGTAACTATTGTAGTTGTACTATGGTAAATATGTAGGGAGTTATACAGGACTGGTCAGTACTGGAATATTACCTATGTGTGATTTTACTATGATAACCGTGAGGCAGTTGTTGTTCTATTTATGGTAAAAACATCTTAAACTCTTTACAGTAACTATTGTAGTTGTACTATGGTAAATATGTAGGGAGTTATACAGGACTGGTCAGTACTGGAATATTACCTATGTGTGATTTTACTATGATAACCGTGAGGCAGTTGTTGTTCTATTTATGGTAAAAACATCTTAAACTCTTTACAGTAACTATTGTAGTTGTACTATGGTAAATATGTAGGGAGTTATACAGGACTGGTCAGTACTGGAATATTACCTATGTGTGATTTTACTATGATAACCGTGAGGCAGTTGTTGTTCTATTTATGGTAAAAACATCTTAAACTCTTTACAGTAACTATTGTAGTTGTACTATGGTAAATATGTAGGGAGTTATACAGGACTGGTCAGTACTGGAATATTACCTATGTGTGATTTTACTATGATAACCGTGAGGCAGTTGTTGTTCTATTTATGGTAAAAACATCTTAAACTCTTTACAGTAACTATTGTAGTTGTACTGTGGTAAATATGTAAGGAGTTATACAGGACTTGTCAGGACTGTTAAAAGTTTGGAAGTGTGATTTAGAGATGATAACATTGAGGCAACTGTTCTGTTTTTGGTGAGAAATGTAAATTCTTTGCATTGAATACTGGAAATGTACATTAATATTTTGAAGTATGAAGGATGTGAGTTGTAGCTTTACTATGTTTCTATTTGCAGCAAGGGAAGCTATAATTGAAGAATTGAAAGGTTTTAAGAAACAATTTAAGGTAAGTAAAAATTTTGAAAAATTGTTGAAGCCACATAATAAAAAAGTTTTTAAAAAATGTTGTGCTCTGGTCTCACTTCAAACTGAACATTTTGACAAAATACCTACCGTCATTATATGATTGAACTAGTGCTAGCTGTTATTAGTACCACATGAGCAATCACTAAAGAGGCTTTGGATATTTTGCCATTACTTCAATTTGTTGTGTTTGGTAACAAAGTTGTTGGTTAAATTTTGGTATTTTCCTATTATCATCTAAATACTACTTTATACCATCTACCGGTAGCATGATAATTCATTATCATTGGTTGTCAGTTTGAGAACAACTTGAGTACAGATTTTCCCATTCCCCAGCACTTAGGAACATACTTTCTCAAAAAAGAACGTCTGCTCGCGCCGGGTAACATCCGAAACTGGAAATAGTGTCCACACAAAAGATCCGCGTCAGAAAATAGTCTGTCATAAACATATCAATACAAAGTTACGGAAATATATTGTGAGAATAAAAACACCATTTCAGGTGTAAATGTGCATATGGAAAAGCCAATGACAATAGGATTGTTTTAGAATTATTTTTTTCTTCATAGTTTTAAGGTTCATTGTATTTCTCCGCTCAAAACTGATATTCGTTTACGTTTGTCATAGGCAATCGTTGACAATTGAGCTTAGAAGTCATTTGGAAAACACATGGTGTTAATTTTAGTTTTTTGAATGGAGAAATATATAAGGTAGTAGTATATAGATGATAAATAGTTTATCATACAGTATTTTCAGGGTTTGTCGCTCGAACAATTTTCTCATCGCTTACACATAGATCAAATCTCGAGTCCACCTGTGGTGACCTCTCAATTTTATCTACGTGCTCTCGATGAGAAGATTGTTCTCACGACAAACCCTGAAAATACAGTGTGATAATTATAATTACGATATGTCAGATTTTGATGTTTTACCTTGAGTCTTTTTGATATGACCTTTATGCCTCAATATTCAGTCCATAATTCCATTAAAATGGCAAAAAATAGTTTACTTCTTGCATATTATCATCAAGGAGAAAAGTTTGCAGGATTAACAAGATATTTGAATAATGAGATTTTAGTTAAAATATCAGCAACATAATTAACTCAACATAATCATTTTTATGCTTAAAATTAAAATAACAACTGTCTTTATCTCTTCCACAAAACAGTTAGAGGAATCAAAGGATAGAGAAGATGTAAAGGAGAATCAGGAAGTGTCGACAGATGTGGCTCCAGATAAAACGGAAGATACCGCACCACACGAGCCAGAGAAACAGGAGGAGAAAAAGAAAGAAGCTACTGAATTATCATCAGAGTTAGTATAACAGTGTATAGTTATAATGAAATATCATCACAGTTAGTATTACAGTGTACAGTTATAATGAAATATCATCAGAGTTAGTATTACAGTGTACAGTTATAATGAAATATCATCAGAGTTAGTATTACGGTGTAAAGTTATAATGAATTATCATCAGATTTAGTATTACAGTGTAAAGTTATAATGAAATATCATCACAGTTAGTATTACAGTGTACAGTTATAATGAAATATCATCACAGTTAGTATTACAGTGTACAGTTATAATGAAATATCATCACAGTTAATATTACAGTGTATAGTTATAATGAAATATCATCACAGTTAGTATTACAGTGTACAGTTATAATGAATTATCATCACAGTTAGTATTACAGTGTATAGTTATAATGAAATATCATCAGTTAGTATTACAGTGTATAGTTATAATGATATATCATCACAGTTAGTATTACAGTGTACAGTTATAATGAAATATCATCAGAGTTAGTATTACAGTGTACAGTTATAACGAATTATCATCAGAGTTAGTATTACAGTGTAGAGTTATAATGAATTATCATCACAGTTAGTATTACAGTGTACAGTTATAATAAAATATCATCACAGTTAGTATTACAGTGTACACTTATAATGAATTATCATCAGAGTTAGTATTACAGTGTACAGTTGTAATGAAGTATCATCAGAGTTAGTATTACAGTATATAGTTATAATGAATTATCATCACAGTTAGTATTACAGTGTACAGTTATAATGAATTATTATCAGAGTTAGTATTACCGTGTACAGTTATAATGAAATATCATCAGAGTTAGTAATACAGTGTACAGTTATAATGAATTATTATCAGTTAATAATACAGTGTATAGTTATAATGAAATATCATCAGAGTTAGTATTACATTGTACAGTTATAATGAAATATCATCAGAGTTAGTATTACATTGTACAGTTATAATGAAATATCATCAGAGTTAGTAATACAGTGTACAGTTATAATGAATTATTATCAGTTAATAATACAGTGTATAGTTATAATGAAATATCATCAGAGTTAGTATTACATTGTACAGTTATAATGAAATATCATCAGAGTTAGTAATACAGTGTACAGTTATAATGAATTATTATCAGTTAATATTACTGTGTATAGTTATAATGAAATATCATCAGAGTTAGTATTACAGTGTACAGTTGTAATGAAGTATCATCAGAGTTAGTATTACAGTATATAGTTATAATGAATTATCATCACAGTTAGTATTACAGTGTACAGTTATAATGAATTATCATCACAGTTAGTATTACAGTGTACAGTTATAATGAATTATCATCATAGTTAGTATTACAGTGTACAGTTATAATGAATTATTAGCAGAGTTAGTATTACAGTGTACAGTTATAATGAAATCTCATCAGAGTTAGTATTACAGTGTACAGTTATAATGAATTATCATCATAGTTAGTATTACAGTGTACAGTTATAATGAATTATCATCATAGTTAGTATTACAGTGTACAGTTATAATGAATTATTAGCAGAGTTAGTATTACAGTGTACAGTTATAATGAATTATCATCACAGTTAGTATTACATTATATAGTTATAATGAAGTATCATCAGAGTTAGTATTACAGTATATAGTTATAATGAATTATCATCACAGTTAGTATTACAGTGTACAGTTGCAATCTTATGCAGATTACTTAAATGATAGGAAAGGGATTTGTTTTCAAATAACTAATAAATTCTAATATTACAGAATTTGTTACAAATTCTAGTATAACACAATTTGTTTCCTATAATTGTATGCACAAAAACATCAGGCCAAGACTGAAATGAATGTATAGATACAGGCTGTAGCTTGAAGTTCAATCTCTGTGCCCATATGAGTTCTTCAAAACGGAGAAAAGAACTCATAACACCTTTAGGTTTATAAGATATGCATCTTAACTCATATCAAGCCTATCAGAATAGATAAAACTGTTTGTACCTTCTTTATAGAAGAGTGAGTGTTTGAAAGAATTGGGGAAAATCCATTTCTTAATTAAGCTTGATCTGCAACATTCAGGTATGACTAATCTCTGTAAACTAAGTCAGATACAAAGTATTTATGAACATATAACTAAATAGAATATTACAAGTGAGGTTGTGAATGTTCACAAATCCGAAACATTTTCATTTTCAACATGTGTTTGTGCAGTAATAATAACCAATCATTGTCAGGTATGAATAAGACAGTGGCCTGGAGTACCACAGGTAGCTACAGATGTACACATAGACAATTATGAAAGATGAAGTGATGAAAAATAAATAATCATGTTTTTGCTCTGTTTGCAGTATTGTGAAAAAGTCAGAACTCAATCCACTAGCTCAAGTTTTCCAACCTGTAAGTATATAACAAAAATCCTAGAGTATTTAAAATTTTCAAAAATGTTGTTACTGGAAATATTTGTCTACAAACTGATGCTTCCGACACTTAAGTCCTGAAACATTTAATTCATTAGAAGGAATATTGGTGGTAAAATGTCATTCTACCATTTTCCCCCTTATGCAAAAGATATGATAAAAATTCATATGAATATTTTTTCTATGAGCCCCTTTGTTTAAATTATCAATTTGTATCTTGAAATTGTTGTCTATGAATATTAATTCTCTGTCTTTATAACACAGAAACAGATCCGCCAACAAATCCCCACGCCACCGCGGCCTCACACCCAGAGCCCCATGGCTATGCCAGCTGCCATGCAGTCTGCCCACACCGGAATGTTCCAGCAACAGCAGCCCACATTCATGTTGCCACCGGCAGTGGTCTCCATGCCAACGCAGGCTCAGACGTCGTCACCACAGCTACGACCCACAAAAAGAGGTACGCATACAACAGTTCTGCAGAGTACCTCTAACACCACCCAGGTCCCAAGGTGTCCTGGAGTATTCAGACTCGTTCAAATGTCAGTGTTTTGTTGAAATAAGTTTATAGAGTTAAATTTCTGTTTGTTACTGTAAATCATTTTGTATCATCATCATCATCATCCACATCATTTTGTTACTGACTAGCTGCAGCTTAATGTGCCTTTATTAGAAAAAAAATGTGTTATGTTACTTTGTTAGAAATTAAACCGGAAATAGATCTACAAGTGTCACAGACTCAGTTGGGCTTAGTGTCCTCATGTAAGCGAGTTTAGTTTGAGAAACTGTTACTGTTTCAGGACGAGATATTCCACCAGGTGAGATATCCGACACTTGTGGTTTTGGTGTGACACTGCTGATTGATATTGTATAATGGAGTGCCTAATGTCTATTTCCTAATGTGTGGTTTTCGAATCTCAATACTAGAATTGACTGAATCGTAGTTCTCTAACCAAACTACCCAAGTCTAGCTTATAACCCTTCCCCAATCAAAGAAATACCATTTGTACAGTAAACTTTTCCATTTGAATAGTGAATTTTAACATTGCTGATGATGCAACTCAAACTACAGGGGTCAGTTTATTTGTGCAATAAAATCATGAGTTAATTTTACAATGTAATATTCCAGGGATAATGCCTGACAGACCTGTAAATGTTGATGCAGGCCTTGAAAGTTTCTGCTAAGGCACGGCAGAAAGCAACATCAGGCCAATAGGTTCATCACTTCCATAGATATCTCGGGTCAAATTGGTCTGACCTTTTGGAATGCAACACACAAAAGGGACCCAGTTACTGCACATCATTCTTACACTGATCAATATATATTGCACCTTGCTTTAGTGCTAGCAAATCATTTCAACATGTCTTCTCAAACTTTGGTGTTTTCTAAATTTACTTGCGTTTTGGCAGTTACTGTCAGTTATCTTTGTGTGTTTGTTGATGTCTTTGCACCGATCAGGTAAGATTATATTTATCCAGATGCCTCCATACATAGGAAACAGCGGACTGAAGACTGGGATAGGTGATATGATGAGTTGCTGGTTCCAGAATCTGTACTTGTATATCTGACAATCGATAGTCCTTAATCTGCTCTGAGTGAAAAAATAGCCTTTATGTTTAGGGGATAACCCCACTGTATTTTGAAATTTTCAGCAGCATATAATGATTATACTTTTGCAAATTAGGTTTTACTGGCGACGCATCGTTGACAATCACCCTTCAGGCTTCATATGCAAATGAGAAACTTGTTGAGAGTATATTGTGGTTAAATACCATTACAAGTTACTGTGATCAATCATTCAAATGCTGTGTTAAGTCTCAAATACATTAGTTTGCAGTGTCCAACTTTTGTAAATATTGCTATGTGTGAATTTAAGTATGGTAACTGATAATTTCAGACCAAGGATAGGATCAGATTTTGAATTGGAATCATGAAATATCCAACCCGTTACTCTGGAAATCAAAATCTTGAGATTTGGAATTGCCGAATTAAAATTTGTTCGGTTTAAGACTACTAATCAAGGTCAGGGAAAACCTTTGGCTGTTTAATTATGAGAGTGAGATTTCATGTAATGACTGGTGAGATGCCTTGTTAAATCAAAAGGGTTTCTTCTTCCTCTGGTCAAGGGGCATTGGGGAAACAAAAGCTGATCAGCTGTCTCCAGCGCAACACTCGGGACATCTATCTTTTTGATGATACCTACCCTTTCTACTCTCCCTATGACATCTATCTTTTCAATGATACCTACTCTGTCTACTCTCCCTATGACATCTATCTTTTCAATGATACCTACTCTGTCTACTCTCCCTATGACATCTACCTTTTCAATGATACCTACTCTGTCTACTCTCCCTATGACATCTATCTTTTCAAAGATACCTACTCTGTCTACTCTCCCTATGACATCTACCTTTTCAAAGATACCTACTCTGTCTACTCTCCCTATGACCTCTATCTTTTCAATGATACATATTCTGTCTACTCTCCCTATGACATCTACCTTTTCAATGATACCTACTCTTTCTACTCTCCCTATGACCTCTATCTTTTCAATGATACCTACTCTGTCTACTCTCCCTATGACATCTACCTTTTCAATGATACCTACTCTTTCTACTCTACCTATGACATCTATCTTTTCAAAGATACCTACCCTGTCTACTCTCCCTATGACATCTACCTTTTCAATGATACCTACTCTGTCTACTCTCCCTATGACATCTATCTTTTCAATGATACCTACTCTGTCTACTCTCCCTATGACATCTACCTTTTCAATGATACCTACTCTGTCTACTCTCCCTATGACATCTACCTTTTCAATGATACCTACTCTGTCTACTCTCCCTATGACATCTACCTTTTCAATGATACCTACTCTGTCTACTCTCCCTATGACATCTACCTTTTCAATGATACCTACTCTGTCTACTCTCCCTATGACATCTACCTTTTCAATGATACCTACTCTGTCTACTCTCCCTATGACATCTACCTTTTCAATGATACCTACTCTGTCTACTCTCCCTATGACATCTACCTTTTCAATGATACCTACTCTGTCTACTCTCCCTATGACATCTACCTTTTCAATGATACCTACTCTGTCTACTCTCCCTATGACATCTACCTTTTCAATGATACCTACTCTGTCTACTCTCCCTATGACATCTACCTTTTCAATGATACCTACTCTGTCTACTCTCCCTATGACATCTACCTTTTCAATGATACCTACTCTGTCTACTCTCCCTATGACATCTACCTTTTCAATGATACCTACTCTGTCTACTCTCCCTATGACATCTACCTTTTCAATGATACCTACTCTGTCTACTCTCCCTATGACATCTACCTTTTCAATGATACCTACTCTGTCTACTCTCCCTATGACATCTACCTTTTCAATGATACCTACTCTGTCTACTCTCCCTATGACATCTACCTTTTCAATGATACCTACTCTGTCTACTCTCCCTATGACATCTACCTTTTCAATGATACCTACTCTGTCTACTCTCCCTATGACATCTACCTTTTCAATGATACCTACTCTGTCTACTCTCCCTATGACATCTACCTTTTCAATGATACCTACTCTGTCTACTCTCCCTATGACATCTACCTTTTCAATGATACCTACTCTGTCTACTCTCCCTATGACATCTACCTTTTCAATGATACCTACTCTGTCTACTCTCCCTATGACATCTACCTTTTCAATGATACCTACTCTGTCTACTCTCCCTATGACATCTACCTTTTCAATGATACCTACTCTGTCTACTCTCCCTATGACATCTACCTTTTCAATGATACCTACTCTGTCTACTCTCCCTATGACATCTACCTTTTCAATGATACCTACTCTGTCTACTCTCCCTATGACATCTATCTTTTCAATGATACCTACTCTGTCTACTCTCCCTATGACATCTACCTTTTCAATGATACCTACTCTGTCTACTCTCCCTATGCACTTCTGGCTAGCCCATTGTCAGAATAATTTGACACATTAGATTGTCATGTTGCTGTGTTCATGTTATGACATTTCATCAAGGATTGAATTTAATTTTTAAATCCACAAGCAAACTGTTGCTTGTGGTTTCAAAAGTTAGAAGCAAATTGACAAATCAAGAAGCAAAATATTTGGACGTCAAAATTTGTTTGGGGAAATCCCGGCACACCTCACACCATATTTTGACAGTGTTGTTATCCTTGTTGGCCAGGTAGCCTATGTCATGTAGGTCACGCTGCCATTTCTGTACTGTTTTTATTTGTACGAGAGGCTAAGCTTCAGTCTTCGCTGGTGGTTCTGTTAGTGTATGCACTTTTTTAGTGCCTTCAGTGCCGTCAGGTTCCAATTTTCTTTTAAAAAACACCGTAATCATCGTTTAAGCTTTGACATTTGACGCTGTCTGCACATATATATGTTCCGAACGACACTCTCGTTATTGCCGAGACTAAACGAGACTTAGTACTTGTGCTATATTTAGACACGCACACATGTGTACAACTTACAGATTATGTTTTGATCGGCACATCGACGGGTCCTGACCATAGACCGGCACTTGTTACAAATAGATCGATGATCCGGAAATATTGACCCAATTTATGCACACATGCTGCAGTAAAATACCAGACGCAAGTATTTTCGTTTTGGAACCCATATCAAAACGCAAATCTCAAAATCCTGACGCAAATTGCGTGTAAATAAGAGTAAATTTCGAACCCTGTTTCATTGAGATAACATGAGATTTGGAATGACCCCTTCATTTGTGGACTCCCATCTTTAAGCAAATCCTTGATCAAACAATATTGTAGAGGGTAAAATAAAATACAAAATTGTTTATTTTCAGCTGTTGTATCTATCCAAGGTCACAGACCGGACATTTCTGCGGCGCAGGCAACGGGACAACCACTTCTGGCTCACACACCTCATCACCCACAGTTCATCTTACAGATGCCTCCTGGAAGCATGCTTTCTCAACCCACAGCCTACCCCATTAGCCAGGTCAGTATTACACACCACAACCCACAGCCTACCCCATTAGTCGGGTCAGTAATACACACCACAACCCACAGCCTACCCCATTAGTCGGGGCAGTAATACACACCACAACCCACAGCCTACCCCATTAGTGGGTCAGTACTACACACCACAACCCACAGCCTACCCCATTAGTCGGGTCAGTACTACCCACCACAACCCACAGCCTACCCCATTAGTCGGGTCAGTACTACCCACCACAACCCACAGCCTACCCCATTAGTCGGGTCAGTAATACACTCCACAACCCACAGCCTACCCCATTAGTCAGGTCAGTAATACACAACACAACCCACAGCCTACCCTATTAGTCAGGTCAGCAATACACACCACAACCCACAGCCTACCCTATTAGTCAGGTCAGTACTACAGACCACCTCCTCAGTCAGTGTATATCAGATGGGAAGGTTTTAGCCCACTGATATCAGACTGTAGGCTGGACTACTTTTCCAGAAGTCTTGCTGAGATTTCAGTGAAATGTTGTATACTTAGATATTATACAAGGGAGTAATGTATGTTAACATTTCCCTTTTTGATAGCATCATAGTCTTGTTCCAACAGTTAATCTCCAGTAATTTTCATCAAGTTTCTTTGAAAACTGAATAGGGTAAATCACCATCATCACTATGTAGTTGTAAATGGTTATCAAGCATTCTGTTTCAATGAACAGTGTGTAGTCCTGGTAAAAACTTACATCTGGATATACAGCAGGTATTTAAAATTGTTGTTTTGACTGAAATCCTACTTGCAGAAGACAATATATCTAATGATGATAAACAAATTTTCTTTGTTTTCCTTGTAGGTGATGCAAATGCCGTCGACATCGGCCGCACCCCCTCGTATGGTGACGCCCACATCACTATCCATGGTGCCTACCTCCCACCCGGGGGCCATCGACCACAACAGTGTGTCACATTCAGGGGGTGGAGGGGGGCACATATTTAGTAAGTCTCACTCGGGGCAGAGTGGAGGCCATATATACAGTAAGTCAAACCAGGGGTGAATCTAGCTACTGTCAAGTGGATGCATTTCTGCAGGTCAGAATTATTGTTTGATTCAAAATTCATTTTCATTGAAGTTTCACAGATTTTTTTGGAAGAATCCAGAAAATCACTAAATGTTGTTATCACGTTGCCTGATGTTGCACATTACAATGACTTTACCGGATGAAATAAGAACACTTGACAGTAGATATATTGTTAGTGTAACCAGTCTGTATATCCACCCCAATCATTGTGCTCATTAAGAAATGTGTTATGGCCAAAATGCTATTAGGGTTTATGAAAACATTAACATCAGGTTTTCCTTTCACTTATAAAGTACTTTCTGAATAGGATACATGACATAGAAAAATAATGTGGAAAAATTCTATTGAACAACCATATTTACACATTTTTTAAAGACGAGTTGCTACTTTAACAAAGTTAACATGAAGATGTTTCCATCCACTATTTTGTATTTTTTCAATGCTTTACTAGAGACTGTATGTTGCTGTCATCATATTGCGACTTACGACTTTGTTTGCCGTCAACATAATGTAAAGTTACGATGATAAGTTTGCTGTCATCATATTGCTACTTATGACTTTGTTTGACGGCAACATAATGTAAAGTTATGATGATAAGTTTGCTGTCAACATATTACTACATATGACTTTGTTTGCTGTCAACATAATGTAAAGTTACGATGATAAGTTTGCTGTCAGTATATTTACACATGTGTAATTTCTATTACAGTGAACCCACCTACAGGGCCAGTACCAGCACACATGCATCATCAGTTTTCACATGCACAGCATCCACAGCCCGCACACATGGGGCCACAGCAGAACCAGCCCGGTGGTCAGATGAACCCTCAGTCCAACACACACCATCCTGCACCCAGCCCAGTCCAACAACAAGGACCTACAGGCCAATCCCACAACCAAGGACATCCACCCTCCTCTGGCACCCCCCAACCTCACCACAGCTACCAACAAATGGGCCTCCAGCACCCTCCACTGCAGCCTAGCCCCCACAACCCCACCTCCCCCCAGACCATGCACTCGATGCCCCACGGGCCGTACCACTACCCCCACACGGCCAACGCACACGCCCAGCAGAACAACCAGCCATACGGTCTAAACCAGGGCCATGGCTCTGGTAACTCCTCCCACAATATGCCCGGTCAGTCACCTCACATGCACAGTCAGGCCCAGATTGTGATGATGCCAAACCCACAGGTACAGCAGAACTCCCAGCAGCCTCAGCAACAGCCACACGGCCACCAGTTCCAGCAGCATGCAGTGCCGCACCACATGGCAGGTCAGTGGTCCCCGATTGTGGCTTTTTATCACATTTTATTGAAAACATCCTAACATATTGTTATCGGGGAAATATTAAAATGTTAGTGCTGAGTAATCAATAGGTGAGGTCCTATATCTTTCTGCATTATATAAGTCCACACAAACTCTTTTTCATGATTTATCATTGTGTTAATTATATTTCATTACCACTATTTATTATTTCTCTGATTTTTATGACAGAGTAGTTGTCACATTTAATATGCAATATTGCTTCAGCTCTCATGATTGAGTTAAGTATTAACTACTGTGATAAAAAAAAAAGATTATGACATAAAGTTTCATTTATTGTTGCCATGGTGATGTGTTTGTTGTGAACAGGACATGGACAAGCCGGACACATGAATTACCAGACCACAGGGATGCCAACCATGCAGGCTAATAACCACACAAATTTACACCAACAGATACCGCCCTATGTCCCACAAGGTAGGTTCCCACCCCACAGTACTCTCCACCAAACACTCCTTTAGGCAGATTTCATGAGGTAATGTTGTCTAACAGCTTGATCAGTTTCTATTTATGGAAATTTTAGAGCTCTTCAAATTAAATTGCTCAAATCATGAAGTTTATAGTTTGTTAAGGTATGTTCATGAGAAGTTGCATGACAGGTTCTTAGATTCCTTTTAGAACAAGGCGGAATTCGGGGAAACATAATCTAACTGATCTAACAAGAGTCCTTTTAGAAAAAGGGGGGATTTTTTAACATAATCAATCAACTCGTTTAACAAGTAATGAATTTCTGTTCAGGGAAAGAAAGCATTTTTTCCTTAAAGATTAACCAACTTTTATTTTTTTAAACACTTGTGTTCAAATTTGAGATTTGAATGCTGCAAGGTTAGCGCAGAAAGTTGTGTAACATGTTGATTGTGAGGAGTAGGATTAACAGTAGAAGTACACTGGAGGACCTCTATGAGTTTTTAACGCCAGGCCTGTTAACATGCTGTTTAATACCGCCGCTGTTCTCTTTTTGAAATAAATTGTAGTACCGGTACACCTGGCAAGAAAGGCATGGATATACAAAACCGGTAAATTGTTACTGCATCATCATTTATCATGAAATGTATGGAAAGTTGTACAGAAGATAAAACATTTCCATACCTTTCATTGTTGAACCTGTTTGGACACGCTGCTCCCCCCTCAGAATGTTATTTACTAATACTAGGCTATTTTGTACATGGTGTGTGTTACGGCTGAGTGATGCCATCTAGTAAACAAACTAAGGTTTCTTTTGGCAATGTCATGTTTTATAGATATTGAGCTTTAAAAAATCTGAAGCGAGTCATTGAGAATCTGTACAACATTTTGTTCTGTTTATCTGAGCTACATTGTTTATGTTCGCATTATGTTCAAGTTGGATATTATCAATATGTATATCATAGAGTTTCCATCAATGTCTGATTCTTGGGGAAACTTTTTGTCCACAAGGTAATTTTCATGAAAGGTGTTCTTAATTATTGAATGGTCAACATGGGGAGTTTTGCTTTCTATTTACAAGTAGAGATAATTCCAGCCTATTTGGTTAATGTTTAGTGTATGTTGCCCAATCATCAGTGACAAACTGATAGAGGTCCTTGAGTGAAACTTTGAACCAGCATGCTCCCCACAAACAGTAGTCGCCCAACTTATTACCTTATCACCAAGTTCTACAAGTTACTGCATGCTTGTTGAAACTGACCTGCACCACCAGGTCAACTTGTTGCATGGGATTAAGTTCATTTACTCCTCTCAAAAAACAAATATGTATATCAAACTGTGACATTATAATTCATACTAATCAAAACATTTCAAACTTTTCAATTTTTTTTTTTTTGTATTTATTATTATTGATAATTAAGCAGAACATGTATATTGAAAAAACTTTTGAAACAATTCAAAACCTGAGTAGTATTTTAGTATGAAAGGGGCTGTAACTCCACCTTGACTCCTCGCAATGTAAAAATGTACACCATGGTCGGCCTCGCTGTCAGTGCTGTACTATCAGCTTACGTGTCAGTAATGCACTGATGCACTATGTCATTATAATAGACAATAATGTAGATATTGAGTATTCATGCAAGATATATTTTATTTCGCATGGCAGATAAGTACATGCTTCAATGGTGCATGTTGTAGGCTATATATTACTATGAACAATGTAAATCTAGCTAGGATATCCAACAACATTTTGCTAAAAATCCGTATATGTTTCCTTAGTTTCAATATGATGCCTGCTTGGCTACTAGGCATACATGAATAATGATGTTCTCAAACCTGCTTCAGTAAGATAAAAACTTTGCCTATTTGTTATAATGTTTCATTGCTTTGTCATATTTCTTCAGTAATCAAAGAACTGCTACACACTGTCAATAATGCCATGCATTATTTTTACTTTATATTCTGATGACAATTTTGTTCACTTTGCAGCTTCTCTTGACTTTACTTACTCCACAGAAATACTCTGATCTCTACAGTGTCTGACAAATCTATTACTCCTAGCTCGCAATGTCATGCTGGAGTTTAAACAATTCTGTCAAAATGCAGCTGTCTCGTTGAGGAAACTCACAAACATGCACATGCATGGCCCCCCTGCATTTCCCCCCTGCATGTTAAGTTACTGAGATCTCCCCTTATCATGTCACTATCTAATTTATCTTACTATTGCATGATTGAGCGTTACGTCTTTGTCTCTGATAGCACTTGAAAATGGATAATATGGAGACGTCTAATAGCCTTGTAAATAATTTGGCTTATGAATGAGTAGAATTGAAATCAAGGTATTATTCTTCTGGCCATCAAAGTAGTATGCTTTTAATAATGCAGTAATCTTGCATGTTATAATGCATCTCTAGATCCCTAGAAATAAAAGACGTTAAAAACTGATTTAAGAAATTGAGTAATCATGACATGATTCTGAGACAGAGATCAAGAAGAGTGTTTCTGTGGAGTTGAAAACCAACATTTTATCCTGCCCGTTTTATTCAGGGCTCACCAGGGCATTGCCAATGTGAGCCCTGTATTGTTATGTTTCTTGCCTGTATCTATGCCTGCTTCCTTTGTTTTGCAGTTCATTCACAGGGAGGCCCCCCAGGTCCTGTACAGTCGTATCCACAAAACCATTAAAAAAGGACCATTTAATAGTGTGTTAATTTGTACATGTGTAAGTACCCAGTAACAGCATGAGCTTGTGCTTGATGTTGTCTCCCCCACAGTCTGTCATATCTAATGTTACAATGGTTATACTACATAATGTTGTCTCCCCCACAGTCTGTCATATCTAATGTTACAACGGTTATACTACACAATGTTGTCTCCCCCACAGTCTGTCATATCTAATGTACAATGGTTATTCTACACAATGTTGTCTCCCCCACAGTCTGTCATATCTAATGTTACAACGGTTATACTACACAATGTTGTCTCCCCCACAGTCTGTGATATCTAATGTTACAATGGTTATACTACACAATGGTGTCTCCCCCACAGTCTGTCATATCTAATGTACAATGGTTATTATACACAATGTTGTCTCCCCCACAGTCTGTCATATCGAAGGTACAATGGTTATTCTACACAATGTTGTCTCCCCCACCGTCTGTCATATCTAATGTTACAATGGTTATACTACATAATGTTTGTCTCCCCCACAGTCTGTCTTATCTAATGTTACAACGGTTATACTACACAATGTTGTCTCCCCCACAGTCCGTCATATCTAATGTTACAATGGTTATTCTACACAATGTTGTCTCCCCCACCGTCTGTCATATCTAATGTTACAATGGTTATACTACACAATGTTGCCTCCCCCACAGTCTGTCATATCTAATGTTACAATGGGTATACTACACAATGTTGTCTCCCCCACAGTCTGTAATATCTAATGTTACAATGGTTATACTACACAATGTTGCCTCCCCCACAGTCTGTCATATCTAATGTTACAATGGTTATACTACATAATGTTGTCTCCCCCACAGTATGTCATATCTAATGTTACAATGGTTATACTACATAATGTTGTCTCCCCCACAGTATGTCATATCTAATGTTACAATGGTTATACTACATAATGTTGTCTCCCCCACAGTATGTCATATCTAATGTTACAATGGTTATACTACATAATGTTGTCTCTGCCACAGTCTGTCATATCTAATGTTACAATGGTTATACTACACAATGTCGTCTCCCCCACAGTCTGTCATATCTAATGTTACAAAGGTTATACTACACAATGTTGTCTCCCCCACAGTCTGTAATATCTAATGTTACAATGGTTATACTACAGAATGTTGTCTCCCCCAGAGTCTGTCATATCTAATGTTACAATGGTTATACTACATAATGTTGTCCCCGCCACAGTCTGTCATATCTAATGTTACAATGGTTATACTCCACAATGTTGCCTCCGCCACAGTCTGTCATATCTAATGTTACAACTGTTATACTACACAATGTTGTCTCCCCCACAGTCTGTGATATCTAATGTTACAATGGTTATACTACACAATGGTGTCTCCCCCACAGTCTGTCATATCTAATGTTACAATGGTTATACGACATAATGTTTGTCTCGTAACATTTCTAGAATAACTGTTGTAAAATATATTTATAACAAACACAAACTTTGTGAATGGGGCAAGGTTTGTATCAAAATATATTTGACCAACTGAACAAACAAACAACCTTCATGATCTATCCAGGACTTTTTCTAGAATTTCACAATATTTTGGTAAAATTTAGATTCCCTATGAAAGAAATATTATCTGGAATTTTTCCAAATTTATGCTTTTCTTCAATATCCGACCTGTAATTAAACTAGCAGAAAACATCAAATACCACAGATATATGTAAAAGCTTTGACAACATATAAATATTCTACCAAGTCTCCCTTTCTCTGAAAAACTGGAAAAAGCCCTTACATCTGATCATGATATGTCATTGTTTTCAGTGAAAAATATATTGAAACAAATTTACACTACAGCAGTTAGGAATATCAACATAATATTAACATTCAGTGATTTTGGATTTGAAAACCAATACATTTTTGGAACATTTACTCACAATGAAGACTATTAAATAATATTTCCTATATATTTTGACAATAATTACCTTATTAGATTTTATTGTAATTAGAGTCCTAGTGTTTGTTGTGTTACATTTAGCAATATACTTATTTAGAAAAGTGTATAACAAGATGTGGCCTGGTAATCTATATTTAGTAACAAATTATTGTATTGTGAGTGCCAAATGTAGTAGAATGTTTTGTTTATAGAAACCATCTAATTAGTAAAGAGTTATTACAAGAACTATATTTCGCAAGAAATTTGATTTGATAATCCTCCATATTAAGTGCAAGTTTTTACTAATAAGAAGTAATAGATTTTAGTTTAAGCTGCCTAAATCTGTCATCGTGAACTATTTAGTAATAGATTAAATGACTATATACATTGAGTAACACAATTAAGTGTAATAATTGTTCATATTTAATTACGGACATTTTAGTGTAATAACTGTCAATATTTAGTAACTCATTGGTGTAATTGACTATTTATAAATTTAACCTATTTCACATTTTCTTCAGGTTGATAAATATGGATTGTGAAAATATTCATGTAGCACAACCAATAAGTGTTTCTATGTGACGTTTGGATGACTAGTACGGTATGTACACTGTCACCTTCATCAGACAAATGACCAGTGAAGCGTCTGTACACAAAAGTGTAAAATATGTACAAGTTGTCCAAGCATGTCGATGTTGATTCGGCTAGTCATCGAAACGTCACATGTAAACTCTTGATGGTTGTGCTACATGAACCTTTTCACAATCAACCTACTTCAGTTCTATAAATGTTGATATTTAGTAACTCATTGAAGTGTTATAACCATTTATAAATTGAACAACCCATTTCAGATTTACAACTGTCGATATTTAGTAACTCCTTGAAGTATAACAGTTAATACTAAGTAATGTAACAGTAGAGTAATAGCTGTCAATATTTAATATTGAAGTAAATTAATTGTTTATACTTAGTAACACGTTGATAATCACTTATCTTATCCTAACTGAAAAAATCTTATTTGAAAATGAGAGATTGTGTCTTTTCAAAATCGAGAAAACCTTGACAGAGATATTTCAAAATTGTCAAATTTCTATGTTTTTGATTTAATATTATATTTTGAATGTCGTCAAATGAATAGGTATAGATTGGTCTGTACTAAGATTGTGTATAAATTCTATACTTACTCACAGAGTTACTTATTAATAGAATGTCTTGTCAAAATGCATGTCATTCTCAAGTAGATAGTGGTTCACAGTTTCATTTCTCTAGATTCACAAGCGCCAAACAAGTTCTTGTGAGGTTAAGAAAACATCAGTTTTGGTATTTGAATGGGGTATGTTTCATTAGTTCAGGGGACCCAAAAATAAGCGATAATTTTAAATGGGATGTTTTAGTGCAAGTAGCCGAAAAATAGACAAAATCTGTAGGATCAAATGGATCCCATTTCCGTGGTGTAAAAGAAGATCAATTGAAATATATCTTTATACAGAAATGATTTTAGATTCCTCGGAGTTTGCTCCAAAATTGGCAAATTCATCAGTTATCTAGCTAGTACTAAGTTGCCTCCACAAAATCTTATCATGACTTAAATCCTATGATATAGTAACTGGATTAAATAATACCATCACCACTATTGACAAGAATAAGGTTTTACTTCAAAGTACATTGATATCATAAAACGGATCGTTGGTGAAGGAGTGTCCGACATATCTTGAGTGTATATCGCGGGTAGTTTTAGTCTTTTAAGTGTATATCGGAGTAACATTTCAGTATTTCATATTTTACAAATAATGCTAAAATATATTATGTAAGCATGTTGTAATGATGAAATTTGTTTGTGTGTTGTAGGTGTGACAACGTTGACACGGCTGTAATGTGATACAGCGTCCCCTGGGACGGACTGACCACATCTCGTAGCCAGTAGCGTACACAGATAGTGATAAAGCCATGTGCAAAATGGCTGTACAGCTCCGATCATTGTAAATGGAGCATAAAGACAACAATGATTGCCGGGCCACGGAGCCAGATCATGGTCATACTGCCCGTCAATATACACAGCTGGCCAGCTGTGAGAGATTCGGAGAACATGATGGAGCTAAATTTACGACAAACCTGTGGATAATGAAAAACTGCCTATAGCAGAAAGTGAATTTTAACAGGATCAGTGGTGACTTTTTGTAGGCAATAAAAAAAAAAGACTGAAAAAAACTAAAGAAAAAAAACTTTAAAAAAAGACATAAAAAAAAAGATGAAAAAAAAATAATAAAAAAAGAAACCTATCTTGAATGCTTTGATTTTTCTATTGAATACTGCAAAATGATAATTTCACAAGACTCAGAATGACTTGTCACTGGAAACCTTTTAATCTTTGATATTGATTCTACAGCGGTTTTACGTCATTCTTGATCAATACAGGTGATTCTATGCCAGTTTTGATGATTTTAAGCACAAACAGATAATACACATGGATGTTTTATGACTTAATTAGTTAACATTAAAACTTACTGGACTTAAATTCCTAATCTCCTGTATTGAATTAATCAGTATGAAAATATCATTCAAAGGTCTGTTTGGCAGGTCATTCAGTCTTGTAGGTACATTTGTAAAAATAAGGATAAAACATCCCGGAGGAATCTTCACATCAACAATTAACAGATTATCTAATATATAGTTTCCTTGAAGAAGTACATTGAGAATCATTCTATGCCCGATTTTCTGGTTTATGAAATCTTCATACAGAATCCAATTGTCCACAAAGCAACTGTTAACAGTTAGGGTGGAATAAGGTGTACTATGAGTTAACGGTGAGTGTCTACGCAAGCAGTGTCAGCCACAATATACACGCGCGAGTAGTCGGAGCGTTTTCTGCAACAAAGATACAGAGTTTCCCCAATTTTAAAAACTAAGCAGTCAATTTAGTAGCCACATCAAATTTTTAGTAGCCAATATACCGACCGTGTGAGACCTACTGTAGGTTAGTTGGTTTAAGACCTGGAGTGAGTTGCCAAGGGTGTGTCTATAGTGTAGGTTAGTTAGTTTAAGACCTGGAATGAGTTGCCAAGGGTGTGTCTATAGTGTAAGTTGGTTTAAGACCTGGAGTGAGTTGCCAAGGGTGAGTCTATAGTGTAGGGTAGTTGGTTTAAGACCTGGAGTGAGTTGCCAAGGGTGTGTCTATAGAGTAGGCTAGTTGGATTAAGACCTGGAGTGAGTTGCCAAGGGGGTGTCTATAGTGTAGGTTAGTTGGTTTAAGACCTGGAGGGAGTTGCCAAGGGTGTGTCTATAGTGTAGGTTAGTTGGTTTAAGGCCTGGAGTGAGTTGCCCAGGGTGTGTCTATAGTGTAAGTTAGTTGGTTTAAGACGTGGAGTGAGTTGCCAAGGGTGTGTCTATAGTGTAGGATAGTTGGTTTAAGACCTGGAGTGAGTTGCCAAGGGTGAGTCTATAGTGTAGGGTAGTTGGTTTAAGACCTGGAGTGAGTTGCCAAGGGTGTGGCTATAGTGTAGGTTAGTTGGTTTAAGACCTGTAGTGAGTTGCCAAGGGTGTGTCTATAGTGTAGGATAGTTGGTTTAAGACCTGGAGTGAGTTGCCAAGGGGGTGTCTATAGTGTAAGTTAGTTGGTTTAAGACCTGGGGAGAGTTGCCAAGGGTGTGTCTATAGTGTAAGTTAGTTGGTTTAAGATTTGAGCTTTTTGAGATACAACACACAGCTAGTAACAACACAAAATTACATTGCAATGAAACTAAAACCTAAATGTTAAAGCTGTAACCAGAAAAGTGACACCTTCCACTTCATTTCTGGATACATAGAAATATTCTGAAATAACAATGATTTGTAGAAATAGGCCTCATCAGAAAATTGTGTCCTTCCTGAAGTGTACCACAATAGTTGGCGGGGATACAGGACCGACCTCTGTCCATATGGCCATCTGAGGTGTTGCCTGGAGCATATCTCAAAACTTTTTTTCACCTGGGATCATCAACTTGGTATGCTGGTTTTGACCTTTGACCTAAATTATTTTATCTGCGATCATCAAATTTGGTATGCTGTTACATCTTGGGAAGGCAGAGTGTCACGTAAGCAGGTTATGATGATAACTTCCTGCATGTCACGACGAATCGAGTCAATAGTTTAGCTATGGGAGATGTTGCTTTCTACTCAAACAATTCCAAACTGACGAATCTTGCTGAAGATGGGGGATATTGGCAACATGTTACTGTCTTGTTGATCAGCATTAGGAACAAAACACTCAAAATCATATCCATGTATATATTTCACAGTAATAGTCTGGTGTATAAAAATACTAGTACATATTACTATTGCATATATGAATTGCATGTAATTTTGACATAAAAAATATAGTATCTCACTATCTGTGTATACAAAACTCGCATATTGAAAACAAATTCTTGCAGTTAAAATGTTACATTGTAAAAACAACCAAAAGTATCCTATTCAAAGACTAAAACAAATCATTTGGAAGCGTGATGACAATAGATTTGTACACAGCAGTGGGAGAGCTTCACATCAACCCTCTATTTGCAATGTTGTTGTTTTCATTTTACCATGACATTAAAGCTGCTGGTCTACTGAAATTGTGTTGAACGCAAGATAATCAGTTATGAATAAGAGAAACGGTTTATCCCACTCGGATATCTCAAAGATTCTAGAGTCATTAATCATCAACACTGCGTCTCATGAAAATAACTCCAGGTTATTATAACACAATCAAAGGTTTGCTTTACATACAATGGTTTGGCATTTTCAGTACTGGTACATTTCAAAATAACCGACTAAAGACACATGTAAAACGTTTCAATAATAATCGCGTACAAATTTCAAATGTTTTTCTTTCACTCGCATATCAAGAACAAATAGGCGATATTAACATTACTTGGTCGTTGCAAGGGAAAGCCCCCACAAATACAATGAACATCAAAATGATACAGAGACCTCTGTAAAGAGGACTTATTGCAGCATGGTATTGTACACTAGTACACAATATTTTGTAAAAGGTGATACAAGAAATATCAGGATTTCATTGCAATTCAAGAATATATGATAATAATAATAACTTGAGGTTCTTAAATACCGCTTTATCACAACCTAGTTTGTAGGTCGTCTCAAAGCAGTTCACAAATCATTATCCCTGGTTATAGGGCCTTTGTTACGACCCAATATCTTTCTCAACTCCCTGGATAGCATAAAGCCGGTGCTGCCATTTCGGCGCTCACAGCTACCATTCAATAATTATAGCCCTGTCCAACCACATACTCATTTACAGCTGAGTAGACTGGAACAAGCGGAGTAAAGTATCTTGCTCAAACACAGTATCCTGCCGGGACTCGAACCCACGAGCCTGGCGTCCTACCAATAGACTATTGTGCTTCTTGCAGTCACAGGCATCTTTCCCGAGTTCTGTAGTAAGTACCATGTTAACTATATTTGGAATACCAGTAGTAATTTGGAATCGGTGTATGAATTGCTGACAGATATATAGGAATGGCAGATTTATGGTGCCCTAACTACACAAACGTATATTACTTAATATGGACAAACATTTGTAGAAAACTAAATTGGATCACATCTTGAAGTTGACCTGAGTACATACACATTTTCCTCATGTTAAGGTAGCGAGTCTCAACACTGCGTTGTATCTCCAATAAATAAAGTGTTCCGATCCGTTAACATTTTTCTTACTTGAAAGTTGCTTGCTCATGTTTTGATAATATATTTCACCAATTCTCACTGGGGAAAAAATTCCTTAAAAGATCCACAACCTAATATCAATGTCTTTGTAGAAGGAAAGAGTATAAATTCAACATTAAAAATACTTACAATGCCTGTACACAGTAGAAAAGAGGAGGGACTCGTTACCTTCATGAAGTTAAGGAATAATACCCTGCCTGGACCAGACAACCGGAATCGTTCTTGGAGAGCTTGATTTGACAGCCAAGGCAGTTTTTGCAGTGACTAGGTTTAAACTACATAAACTGTTTCCAAAAATATACAATTTACATTATTTGGCTGAATTATTTGACCCATTACAAATAGCACCAGATTGGTTAGATTAGTCGCATTTTCTGAGGAGCTTGTGCATTGATCTTGAACATTCTACATGGTCTGACTAAATTCACCTAACAAAAGTTCTATGTTTATAAACCACTTTGTTCCTATCAATGCCCAGTTCTGGTCAAGGGGAGACAATCATGTCGGTTTAATAGTGACAGAACGTGCGATATCCACACATCATGTGGTTTCTACTTGTAAGTTTCTAGGGTCCACACCTTCCTTTTAACATCTTCAGTGAGAAGTCCACAGTCTCGTAGCCCTGCGTGAGTCGACTAAGAGACATCCACACATCATGTGGTTTCTACTTGTAAGTTTCTAGGGTCCACACCGTCCTTTAAGATCTTCAGTGAGAAGTCCACAGTCTCGTAGCCCTGCGTGAGTCGACTAAGAGACACTACATCAACATGTTTGTCCAGGTACGACAGAAGAGTGGTCTCGTTTATTCCGCCGCTAGCCTCCACGATCAGGTTTGGAAACTTCTCTTTTAGTTCCTTTGCTGCAGCAGGTATTGCCTGTCATGGTGACATCAAAACAGAGTTGTACATCAGAAATATTGGAAGCCTTCATACATGTAATGATACTGTACATAATGATATACCTGACCAAGTTTAAACACATTGATAAAATCTCCCTAATTGAAAAAATTATAGATTTTTAGGTCACCTGAGACAAAGTCTCAAGTGACCTATTGCGATCGCCTTTTGTCCGTCGTCGTCCGTCGTGCGTCCGTAAACAATTTACATTTTCGACTTCTTCTCCAAAACCACTGAACCAATTTCAATAAAATTATGCAGAAACCTTCCATGGCCAAAGGTCAACAAAAAGAGTGGCCGGTTTGGTCCCCAGCCCCCAGGGGCCAGAGGGGCAGGGCCAAAAAGGGTCAAATTGACTAAAATTTCAAAAACCTTCTTCTCAAGACCCAGATATGGTAGAATTAAATACTCTTCATAGATGGAAGGGTATTAAGGTGCTTTACCAAAATTGTGAATTTCTTGACCCTGGGGTCTCATGTTTCCCCCTGGGGAGGGGGTAAACTTAACTATAGTTTATATAGAGAAATCACATTTTGGACCAACATTTGTTTAATTTCCATTGGAAGTAATTCAATTTAGGTTAGCATTATCAGTATTAGGTAGCAATTTGATAGTATGCACATATGAGCCCTGACTGACCCCCCGGGCTGATGGGTGTGGCCAAAAAGGGTTGAATTGACTGAAATTTCTAAAATCTCCTTCTCAAAGACCTAGATATGGTAGAATCAAACACTCTTCATAGATCGAGGGGTCTTAAGGTTTGTGACCCTAGGGTCTCACGTTTACCCTCTGGGGAAGGAGGGGGGGGGGGGCAAAATTTATTATGGTTTATAATCGCAAATGATACTTTGAATATTACATGTCAATAACTTGATTGGAATTATGACCCTGAGTTTGAGTTTGATACTATGAAAATTTTGAGCCAGCTCTACCCCCAAGGGCTGTAGGGTGGGGCCCAAAGGAGTCAGTGTGCTAAAATTTCTTCATTTTCCTTGTTTAGAATCAGAGGTGCTAGTTTCAAATACTTTTTAGTCTTAAATCTGTATGCTAGATATTGAATAAGGTGGTTTTATTGTTTTTTGTCACTTTGAATAATATTTCTGTTCGTGTTAAAAACAAAATCAACTCTCTGTATAAATATATCAGGTGACCGTTAAGGCCCATGGGCCTCTTGTTTTGGTACCAAACTCCTTCTTTTTTTCTTTCATGAATTAGATATGCGTTTTCTCTGAAATAGCGTATCGGACAGGGTTGTACCTTTGGAGAGAAGTTGTCAAGCATCACGACATCACACCCAGCCTCGGCCGCCTCTGTTGCGTCCTTCACTGATCGACATTCCACCTCCACCTTTGTGGAAAATCCCCCGACAACACGGGCGTCACTCACTGCCTGTAACAGAGCAAACATAATGTGTCGGGGTAAATGACGCCAAGTTAAGAAGTAGGTAGTATACACAGTCCAGTAATAAGATCGGTGAAGAGCAAGGAAAGAAAGGACAGGGAAACTTTTATAACAAATACGCCTACCATCCACACAGAAAGGGCAAGGAAGTAATGCCTCCCATCCACTCAGAAAAGCACGGAAGTCATGCCTACCATCCACCCAGAAAGCGCAAGGAAGTAACGCCTATCATCCACACAGAAAGACACAGTCCAGTAATAAGATCGGTGAAGAGCAAGGAAAGAAAGGACAGGGAAACTTTTATAACAAATACGTCTACCATCCACACAGAAAGGGCAAGGATGTAATGCCTACCATCCACTCAGAAAGGCAAGGAAGTCATGCCTACCATCCACACAGAAAGGGCAAGGAAGTAACGCCTACCATCCACACAGAAAGGGCAAGGAAGTAATGCCTACCATCCACACAGAAAGGGCAAGGAAGTAATGCCTACCATCCACACAGAAAAGGCAAGGAAGTAACGCCTACCATCCACACAGAAAGGGCAAGGAAGTAATGCCTACCATCCACACAGAAAGGGCAAGGAAGTAACGCCTACCATCCACACAGAAAGGGCAAGGAAGTAATGCCTACCATCCACACAGAAAGGGCAAGGAAGTAACGCCTACCATCCACACAGAAAGGGCAAGGAAGTAATGCCTACCATCCACACAGAAAGGGCAAGGAAGTAACGCCTACCATCCACACAGAAAGGGCAAGGAAGTAATGCCTACCATCCACACAGAAAGGGCAAGGAAGTAACGCCTACCATCCACACAGAAAGGGCAAGGAAGTAATGCCTACCATCCACACAGAAAGGGCAAGGAAGTAATGCCTACCATCCACACAGAAAGGGCAAGGAAGTAATGCCTACCATCCACACAGAAAGGGCAAGGAAGTAACGCCTACCATCCACACAGAAAGGGCAAGGAAGTAATGCCTACCATCCACACAGAAAGGGCAAGGAAGTAATGCCTACCATCCACACAGAAAGGGCAAGGAAGTAATGCCTACCATCCACACAGAAAGGGCAAGGAAGTAATGCCTACCATCCACACAGAAAGGGCAAGGAAGTAATGCCTACCATCCACACAGAAAGGGCAAGGAAGTAATGCCTACCATCCACACAGAAAGGGCAAGGAAGTAATGCCTACCATCCACACAGAAAGGGCAAGGAAGTAATGCCTACCATCCACACAGAAAGGGCAAGGAAGTAATGCCTACCATCCACACAGAAAGGGCAAGGAAGTAACGCCTACCATCCACACAGAAAGGGCAAGGAAGTAATGCCTACCATCCACACAGAAAGGGCAAGGAAGTAACGCCTACCATCCACACAGAAAGGGCAAGGAAGTAATGCCTACCATCCACACAGAAAGGGCAAGGAAGTAACGCCTACCATCCACACAGAAAGGGCAAGGAAGTAATGCCTACCATCCACACAGAAAGGGCAAGGAAGTAACGCCTACCATCCACACAGAAAGGGCAAGGAAGTAATGCCTACCATCCACACAGAAAGGGCAAGGAAGTAACGCCTACCATCCACACAGAAAGGGCAAGGAAGTAATGCCTACCATCCACACAGAAAGGGCAAGGAAGTAACGCCTACCATCCACACAGAAAGGGCAAGGAAGTAATGCCTACCATCCACACAGAAAGGGCAAGGAAGTAACGCCTACCATCCACACAGAAAGGGCAAGGAAGTAATGCCTACCATCCACACAGAAAGGGCAAGGAAGTAACGCCTACCATCCACACAGAAAGGGCAAGGAAGTAATGCCTACCATCCACACAGAAAGGGCAAGGAAGTAACGCCTACCATCCACACAGAAAGGGCAAGGAAGTAATGCCTACCATCCACACAGAAAGGGCAAGGAAGTAACGCCTACCATCCACACAGAAAGGGCAAGGAAGTAATGCCTACCATCCACACAGAAAGGGCAAGGAAGTAACGCCTACCATCCACACAGAAAGGGCAAGGAAGTAATGCCTACCATCCACACAGAAAGGGCAAGGAAGTAACGCCTACCATCCACACAGAAAGGGCAAGGAAGTAACGCCTACCATCCACACAGAAAGGGCAAGGAAGTAACGCCTTCCATCCACACAGAAAGGGCTAGGATGTAATGCCTACCATCCGCACAGAAAGGGCAAGGATGTAATGCCTACCATCCACACAGAAAGGGCAAGGATGCAATGCCTACCATCCGCACAGAAAGGGCAAGGAAGTAATGCCTACCATCCGCACAGAAAGGGCAAGGAAGTAACGCCTACCATCCACACAGAAAGGGCAAGGATGTAATGCCTACCATCCGCACAGAAAGGGCAAGGAAGTAATGCCTACCATCCACACAGAAAGGGTAAGGAAGTAATTTTGGTAAAGGAACATTTATTTCAAAGGTCCAAGGCATTATTAAGTTGAATCAATGGACAAGGGTTACCTAACAGATTAATCTATGGGTGTTTTAATTGGATCTTGTCCCCAAGACAAAAAAAGCATCTTAATTTATCCTTTGAAAAGGAAGTAAATCTTATTTTCAAAATAATTAATTATTACTTGAAAAGTGAGTATTTGGCTAACTAAAACCCCTTCCCAGCTTGGGCCAGACAAAAAATATATGTTTCCTGTAATGTGTTTGAAAAATGTAGGGTAGGTAAACAACAAATTTTATTTCAACAAATAATTTTATATGGTTTATGTAGCCTTTATTAGGAGAGTGATCTGGACTTCTTTAAAAATTGCCTTAAAAAGTATAGGGTAGGTAGGGTTACCGAAACACCAAATAGTTTTTGTTTGGCCTTGAATAACAAATATTCCAACAAACTAAATATTCCTGGCTATATTAAACCATGGCAAACTTATTCCTCTCCCTCTAACTAATACATCCCAGGCGACTAATATCCCATGGCTAGCTTATATCCTTGTTAACACTCCTGGGTTCAGCTAAGTAATACCCCGAAGTTAATGCCTACCCTTGGCTAACTTATATTCCTGGCAAACTAATACCCTGACTAACAAATACCTCAATCTAACTTAATTCCCTGGACCAGGTAACTAATTAGCCTCGCCTAACTACTAACTTATTACTCCCATGTAACTACTACCCCCAGCATACAGCTAACTAATGCACCCAGCTAACTAATAACCCGTGGCTAACTGATATCCAACTACTAATACCCCCACTTACAGCTTATTCCTCTGGCTAAATAATACCCCTAGGTAACAAATATCACCCAGCTAACAAATACTAATGGCTTTCAGCCAATTAATAATTCACTCATAACCACCAAACTCACTACATGTAATATCCTTCAGCTAACTTATATCCAGGGGGAACTAATTACCCATGTACGTGCCCGCCACACCTGGATTTAAAGCCAAAAACTCACCAAAATCTAAACTACCTTATCACCATTGGTTGGCCAAGTTCAGATTCACGACATGACAGCCCCGACCCTGGCACTTTACATTAAATCACATACATCTTTTCACATTTATTTGCAAGGAAAGACTCTCTTAACTCATTCACCCCTGAAATTTCATAATGAACTATTCCAACCTTTGAATTGGAAGAGTTCAAATGTATCTTCAGGGGTGAATTAGTTAAATTAAAAATATCTCGCATACATTTATTCAAATAATTTTGAAACCTGGGGGTGTGCACCTAGCCAGCCACTGACCATGCTCGAGTTGCTGAACTAGCGAGTGTAGCCCAGTTATACCCAATCACTGGAAAAGCTAGCTTGCCAGTAAAGCAGTATTTTTCAGTCCTCGGCTGTTACACTCACCCCCCCCCCCCCCCCCCCCCTCCCTCCTCTGAGAGGTCTGGTCCCAAGACTTGACCTTGGGAGTCCTGTGGGTCCTTCCTGTGTACCAATGCACCTTCCCTAACCACCGGGAACTGGCCTTATGAGGTAACACAGAATCCCACCGCTGCCACCAAATATAACGTGGGCAGGCACCCATCAAGCTACTGATGTACGCTTGTTGCAGAGTATGTTCCTAGAGTTAAACCATCTAGCCAGCAAGTCAGTATTTTCCCCTCATATTCCTCAGCAATTACAAATTGAACAAGGAAAATAATAAATGCACACAAATATTAAGTTATTTAAAATAGTATATTACATAACTGTTACATCAAAGATAAATCTATATTTATATTCTATAATCAGTTACGAGAGGAAAAATGCATGGTGCCAGACCAGGATTTGAACCTTGGACTTGGCAACTCTGGACAGACACTCTAACCAATTGTATTATAGGACCAGGAATAGTGATAAAAGTAGTGCTGTTGCTGTGGCTCGAACCCGCGGCCCTTGGCTCTCCGGCCCGATGCTCTACCGCTGAGCTAAAGGGAAATTCCCTACAGCTGACATCAATGTACATCTTTTACACAATAGTGCTTAATAATGGTCATGGCAGTCACCCAGCCCCATTTCACCGGAAATAAAAAAGCTTGTGAATAAGATCTACCTTCGTAATGTTGCCTGCAGTCCATATATGGTTGTCTTTTAACATTATCATTGAAGATAAATCATATCGATGAGTAGACACTCCTCCAACTAAAAGAGAATATTTTTCCACTAATCTAAAACCAGGTGTTGTCTTCCGTGTTCCTGCAATTTCTCCACACCATCCTGCAGTTTCTGCAATTTTACGCATTCGTCCCGCAGCACTGGCTATGCCACTTGCTCTGGACAAGCAGTTGAGGGCCACTCTTTCTCCTAACAGGAGTTGTCTCACCTTGCCTGTCACAGTGGCCACTCTGGTTACCGGTTCTATATAATCACCCTCTGGACTGCTCCACGTTACTTTGCAGTCAAGCTCCTTAAACACTGCGTCAAAGAAAGGATTGCCAGCAAGGACGCCGGCGCTTTTCATCAACAACACAGCTGTCTCTTCCTTCTCACCCACCACAAATCCTCCATAATCAAAATTAGGGGTGTCTTCTTTCAGCCACTCTCGAACCATGTGCTGCAGGGTCACCGGGTGGAGAATGTGTGCCAGGTTCGGCCTGTAAATTCCATTTAAAACGGAATCTGCTGCTGACATGTTACCTAATTGTTTGCAACGGTTATCCACCTGCAGATACCCTCTAAAGTTAAGGTTATGGTATGCACGGACAGTCAGTTGTAGCAACCGTATGGAGAGTGACAAGATTGTTTACCAATTTTTTTGGATCCTCCGGAATGTTTCGTGACTTTTCACTCTCTTGTACTGAACGAATATATTTAGCAGATCGTAAAAAAATGCGAAACGATACAAAAGTTAGAAGTGGAATAATGCATAATGCTTAAGTTTTTTTCTTCACCTTATTGTATAATATTTTTTTATGAAGACAATTTGATATTTAATGTTTTATTGTTTTAATTAAGATAAACTCTATTACAATATAAAATATTTACTGAGTGGTACACTGAATATGACCACGGAATTAGATTATCTAAGTCCGTGATATGACGCAGAGTCTGACCCATGTATTTAGTTTATAGTGCTAAACAGTGTGTTAAAATAGAACCTGTAGAATGAAATAGAACAAATAAATACATTACATATTAAAATTATATTGGTTTTGAGATGCACCCTCAACTTTTACCGGAAGTAGCCCGAGTTTATTTCCTGAAGAGTCACCATTTTGGATGGTGTGCGGCTGGTCGATGGAAACAGGAAGAAGGTAAGCCCTGGTGTGGACATTTAAACGGGAGAAGATGATCTATTGACAACGACTTATTTTGATTGCTTATACTTCGAGTGTACATTTTGGATTTTCTCGGCCTGGAAGCATTGTTCGTTGTTGGAAACGAAAGTAGGTTTGAGAAGGCGGGGTCGTCTCTGGACTCAACCCTCCTTCCGTAGCGGTCACTGTGAGATAATCGTGTATTGTGTCCGAGAGTATCATTACCAGCAGACAGTGATCTATTCACTTATGTACTTATATGTGTCAACAGTCCAGTAGCATATATACGTAAGACAGTACGTTGATGTACTTTATCTCCACAGCTGACAAGTACTGCAACAGCACTTGTAAGTTGTAATTTGAAACTGAACAAGAAATATAAACAAAGCCATTTTAAGACTGTTGATTCAATCATAAAACACAAAAATGTTTAATTTTATGAAAAAAGATAAAGAGCACAAAGATAAAAAGGAGAAAGATGAAAGAAAAAAGGAAAAGAAAGATAAAAAGGATAAGGAGAAGAAGGCTAAGGAAAGAGAACCCATGACACAGGATGACTTGAACAGACTTGATGAGGTCAAGAAAGGTGTTTTCCGGAGATTTAGTGAACGGGATCGCACTAAGAAGTCTGGTAGTGTTAAAGGAGCCACTTCTCCTGATGGAGTGCCCAGGGATAGCAGTGACAGCAGTCTGAGCTCGGGACGGCCCAGTCCTGTTCGAGAGATGCCGCCCGCTGACAGAAAATTTGATATTCGCGACATAAATAAACCAGAGCGAGTACCGAGTAAAGGATCAGCTGACAGACCAAAACCCTCTCCAAAACCAAGAAGCATCCTAAAGCCCAAAAATTCTGGTCCAATAGCAGAGGATATTGATAGCTCAATCATATTAAAAGAAAATACTAGAATTAATCAGCTAACAGCACATATTGTTAACAATGGCAATGAACAGACATACGAAAATGTACCAGTTCAAGAACCTCCCAAAGAACCAGAAAAGTCTTATAAATCTAGGTTAAGGCTGCCCTCTATAGTTCCTCCTCAGCCCCCACGGATCCGGGAACTAATTCTCCAGCGCCAGCCTGCCGGGGATTTCGGATTTACCCTCAGAAAGGCTGTGCTGGTAGATAAAGGGGGAGGTGACAATCAGGAAACTCGTCACACTGTTATTTTCGCGGAGCCTGGGAGTGGGGTGCGTAACCTACAGACAGGACTTATCCCTGGAGACAAACTCATTGAGGTTAATGACGTGAATGTAGAAGACACCAGTCGGGAAGAAATTGTGGAGTTAATTAGATCATCAGGTTCATCCCTATCAGTTAAGGTCCAGCCAATCCAGGAACTGATCGAGCTGAGTGTCCGTCCAGCACCTGACGGCGGGACAATCGAAGTACAAGACGAGGTCATCAAAGGAGGAACACTGAAGAGAAGTGGCAGCTTTCGGCACAAGAAAGGGGTGAGTACGCTTAAAGTTTGTCAGGCTCGACAACCGTAACCAGACGTTATAAGGTACAGACATTACGTGACGTTCTAGCTAGACTAGGTTTTGTTATCGTTGCTGTGTTATAATTAATTGTAATTGTATATGACATTTGATAAGTATTACACCTAAAGCTGACCTTATTCTACATTCTAGAATATATTATACTACTTACAGTGACAACATTCGTTATAATCTTTCTAAGATCAATGTGACACCACAGTAAGTGTATTGATGGATATTGAGCTGTGTGTTATACGATACAGTATCGATTATAACACAACCAGGTGTTACAAACTGTCGACACAGCCAGGAGGTATCGCTATACTCGGTACCTGTGACCAATGTATACCACTTGTGTAACTGGCTCTAGTCTAATTGAATAGATGTGTATCACAATTGGTTTAAAAGCTTTCAGAATTATTTTGGTAACTTGCATGTCAGTTCATATTATAAAGTATTTAAGGAACTGTTCAAGTGTATTTTGAAGTTGTGCTAACTTTTCCTAATCATATAAAAACTTCAGTTATAAAATATATGTTACCTTCCTTAAATTTGATTTAAATTAAAATGTCCAGAAATGAATACTTTGTGTAAACCAAAGTTTTACCTAAGAATAAAACAGGAAGTTATGATGGTGGTCCGAAAGAGGGAAGATAGCCCCGTTAATTATCAGACACCTGTTAATTGTCCATCTGTAAATGCCAGGAAATAATTCCATTCACTTCAACTTTAAGTTTTTTGTTTCTTTAGCTCAATTGAGTTACTTTAAGTGACATACTGTGTACTGTCATTGAAATAACACTGAACACATATTGTGAAAGATTTCCTGTTAAAAATATTGCATGTCTCATTTCTATATTACTGTAATGTTATATGATTATGTAATGTTATGTAACATTACAGGTAGGTCTCACCTTTATAGGTTTATAACTGTCCTATCTCCTACCTCAGATTCAGTTAAATTTCTTTTCATTCATCAGTAAGTAACTTTAACTTGACATAAAATAAAAAGTTTGCTCTAGCGTCACAATCTGGTGCTATTATAAAAATAAATAATAAATAAATATGCAACATTTAATATAGCGTCCTATCTAGCTAACATAAGCCACTCTAAAGCGCTTTTGGCTTTAGAAAAGTGCAAATTAAGGTTATCAGAAAGATTTGCTAAAATCTGTTGATGGGTATGGTATTAGATACAGAGTACAGTATATGCGTCTCGTTAAAGTTAAAATTAGAAATTTACTAGTACATATAATTATGTACTTTAGTAGATAAGGGTTTACACTACTGAATAAGTGATCTCTGTTATCACTGAAGTTGGGGGTTATTTTGGGCGTGTGTACAGGGCGCTATGTTTATGATGTAGCTGTAATATATGACAGATATTGAGGCTGTATAAATAGATACATGTCTGTATCATTGGTGCCCTAGATCAAAACAGATGCTGCGATTCATCAGAGTTCGTTGACATGTAATATAAATAAAACAGTTTATTGACTTCAATTTTAGATATCAACCATAGGTTCACTTTGAAGAGTTGATCTGATTGGAAAATGAGATCTGGTGTTCTATAACTTCCGTTAAAAACTTGTTTTAACAGCATTTGAAGTAGAGGTTTATGTAACTTTAGGTGTTTTTCAAGTTTCCTGTTACTTCAGCACTACGACTATTGACATTCTTTGAGTCTTGTGTACCTGATAAGTAGTTTCAATCACCCTTTATAGAGACAGATCGTGAGATTATACATTTTATTTGTTGTTGTTCACAGAAACAATCATACCACTGATCTCCACTTTAAATGGGTTCAAGTATGTGTTGAGTTTATCCTTAATCAAAACTTTCTTCAAATTCACACAATTGGTGTAGAAATCTGAGACATTCTGCTAGGTTTACTTCTGGTTGACTCAATGGATTAAACAGATTCTGTTTAATTTACTAGTTGACACTACATGGAACCAAGGTCATGGCATAAGGTTATTGGACCTGACTTAGGATAACTGAGTCAAGTTTAGGGTTATTGGACCTGACTTAGGGTTATTGGACCTGGAGATAGGGTTATTGGGTCAGCCTTAGCGTTATTGGAACAAACAAAGGAGAATCTGACCAGGCTTATAGATATAGAACTCTAGATGAGGGTTATTGCAGGGTTATGATTCTAGGAAAGCAGAGATAGATTTATATCCAAGTTACCTGAAAGTGTTGTTAGGCCAGACCTGACTTAGGTTATGATTCTAGGAAAGCAGAGATAGATTTATATCATAGTTACCTGAAAGTGTTGTTAGGCCAGACCTGACTTAGGTTATGATTCTTGGAAAGCAGAGATAGATTTATATCAAAGTTATTGTAATTGATATCATGATCCTTAATTTATGACAGAATTGAAAGAAAAGTAAATAGAATTTTATTAATTTGTGTAAAAAATATTTGGAATATGACTAAAACTTTGAAGAAAATGACTAAAAGTTGGATGACAATCTCGGCGTGATGACTATATGGTGTGGATTATCATGCGAGTAAGGCTATTAGTAATCTAACCAGTCCTGCACAGAGGATAGTGATCCAGGTTATTGGTATGTAGAACCATTCATGTAATTGGATTTTGAACAATTTCCTGTTATTTGTTCTATGAACGTTATCGCTATTAACAGTCGGGCCGTGATTTAGACATGGAGGCCCATTGCTGAAATGATACATATATTAGGTAGATGTTCGTGTCCAGATTAGGGTAGATACATGTGTTTACTGTTCAAACATAGCTGTCCCTATATCTCCGTTGTCGCTCACTTCATCACAGTGATAGTATTTTCGCACCTTTGCTATTTCCGCCCTCAGGGACCATCTCAAAATGTGGTCTCCAATTAGCCATATATGTGGTCCTTATTGAAATGACTGCCCTAGACAGTGATGTTGGCCTGGAGGGGTCCACTGATACACAGCCCCTACCTGTGAGTGGTCAAGCAGTTCCTACCTATAAATTGGTCAAGGGGCCATCAATACTTAAATACCTGGCTGGCTCTCCCAA